AGCACACTGATAATACAACAGAACAATAGGAAAAACACAATAAGAAGAATCATAAAGGAAAGCACAAGCAACCGCAACCAACACAACCGCCATAATCATCACAACCATCGCAACAATCACAACCATCAGAACCATCAAAACTGCCACAACCGTCACAACCGTCAGAACCAGCATATTCACGGGCGCATCACAAACATCACAAACATCACAAGCATCACAACCGTCACACACACACACATATGGCTGTGGCTCAAAAAACCGGTACCAAAATGGAACCCTGGCAAGTGGAAACATGGACCAAAACCCGCGTAACCCCCCTGCTTAATTTTGAGCCACAGCCATATCACAAGCATCACAACCGTCACAAGCATCACAACCGTCGCAAGCGTCACGAGCATCGCCAACCATCCAACCATCATAAGGAGCACCACGACAACCACAACAACCACCAACAACATGCTCATAACAACCACCGAACCCTTTTCGAGCACAGTCTTGCGACGAGTAGCATCTGCTCTGCTCCGCGCAACTTTGGCGCACAGCAACACCATTGGAGACAGCTCGTCGGGAGCAACTAACTGAACATGTTGCGGCTTGCTAGCAGCCTGTGCTTGCTGTCGGCCTGCATGGGATTGAGTATTACCAAATCATACGAAGTGTGATCCACAGCTTTTGCAAACTGTGCAACGGGGCAGTGCTAGACATAGGGACCTTGTCTTCGCTGCTGTTGAAAGGAACAGTACATGAAAGGGCAGCCATTTTGGGTCCCTCATTTCCGCGAAATGTCTACATTACGCCCATGCATTCACATTCGGCGCCTTCTGGCAGAAAGAAATGACAGAAAGGCTTGAGCCTTGTGAGTGCGCGCAAAGATGTACACCTAGGTGCAAGCGGATGGAGCAACTGATCAATGTGACAGCATCCACCGTCGGCAAGCCTTCTCCGATTTTGCTTACACAGTCGGAGCGGCAATGCGGCGCTTTTGATGTTGCAAAGCTTGTGGCCAAAGTGGGAAGCAAGTGGAATGAGCTGACACCACTCTCAAAAGCTTTGAACTATTTGAATGTTAGGCTCTGCCATGACATGGTGATACACCAAGACCGTGCCTTATCACAGTCGCTGCACATTATCCGCACAGGCGGCAAGGGACTCACTCGCACTATGACTTTGAGGGAGTCGGGTCACCAATGCTCGGAACCCGCCTCTGTGGGTTTTGATAAAATCGGAAACCCATTGGAAAGGTGTTTGCTATGCAGGAAACGTGCATGGTCCCAAACCAAGAGAAAGCCGACCAGGCAACAAAGATCCAAAGCAAATCATCCCCGGCCGCCAAATGGTCTGGGCAATTCACCAAGCCCGTCTTGGACTTGGTCCATCCCTGTGCTCAAACGCTCAGGATTGCACCTTGCATGGATCCAGAGAGCGGCCCTTAGGCCGGGGTGGGGTTAGTGGCCCCCAGTTCCATTTCTCGAGTCCTTCCAAAGGGAAACATGGACCCTGCTGGAAAATTAGGATGTCCCCACTCCGCTGATTCTAGTGCAGGCTTCACATCTCATCTCAATGTTGCCAGCTGTTGGTTGGAAGGCTTGCTCGGAAACCAAACGAAAGCGCGGAACATGTTTGATCCTCGCGCCCCCGACCGTTTATTGCTGTGCCTCCACAACCCAAGAGCGTGTTCTGGGTATTCACAACAACCAAAAGCAGGGAATCCTCAAGCACGGCCAGTGACCAAGCTCGTCCGAATCAAGCGCGACAGGCATGAGCCGGGGCCGAATCTATTTTCCACTTTTTGCATCTTACGCGCGGCCAGTGGCCACCTGGCATATTGTCTGTTTATACAACGCCACAACGGCAAGCAACAGGAAAGGTTCTCAGATGCCATCCAGAACCCAGGCATGTTCTACTACGTCTCACCACAAGGTGCACTTGCTTTGATCATAAACAAGGGGACCTAGCAATGATTTTACACTAAGCATTCAGAGGTTTCTGAGTCTGGAGGCATTCCTTCTCCATTTGGGAAAAAACATAAGGCGGTGTCTTCACTCGATGATGTCAGCGATGGCCGGCTGCTGGATAGACTCCTTGGGGTGTAGCGCTGGAAGGCGAATTCCCAGCCACGAACTCACTGCGAAAAGTATCCTCTCTATGACAACAAACTGCAAACTCCTCTCGTTCCGGCAGTCCCGCAGCCCTGGTCAATCACTGTGAAGTGCGCGGCAGTTTGCAGCCGGGCCAAGTCTTTGAGCTGGTGTTCGACTCTAGCTCCTTTTGTTGACCCTTTTTGGGAAAAGTACACGGAGCGTCTAGACTTGCCGTCAACATCCAGACGTGATAGATCGGGTGCGTCGTGCAGCCTACAGTGTTACCACGAAGTGGTTGCGGATTCCCAAGCCAATGTATAACACGTTCTGCAGATTGCTCCCAAAGGTAGACCCAGTCCCTAAAGAAAACAGCAGCAGAAGCAGCAATAAAGAACAATCCAAGGAAATACAGGCAGATGAAGAGACATGAAAGAAATTCGGGGAAAATAAATGAAGGAACATGAAGGGAAATGAAGAGGGATGAAGAAGGACATGGGGGTGGTTGAACGGGAATGAAGGGAAATGAAATAAGAGCTGGGGAAAACGATGCACCATGACATGAAAATCAAGGGAAATGAAGAAACCTAAGAAACATGAAATGGGAGATGAAAGGGACATAAAGGGGAATAAAGCGAAACCAAAAAAATGCAAGGACACCAAGCCAAGTGAAAGAAGGGAATATAACGGAAATTCAAAAACAAAACTTGGGACATCTGGAATGAAGGAATTTATAGGACATGAGGGAAAAGAAACGAACATGTCAGAAGATACAGCAAATGGACATGAAGGGAAATGTAGGGCAGGGTTCCCGGTGGCCAGCTGTTTCGAGCTACCAACCAACCAAGCAAAAATACAATAACAAACCAACGAACGTGCAAACACAACCAGTCCAGCAAACAAACACACGACCAATCAAACAACACAACCAAGCAACCAAACGAGCAAACATGCAACAAACAACAATTCAAACAGCAACACAACACAAAACGAACAAACAAATGAAAACAAGACACACACACACAAACAAAAGAGAAAAAAATAAGAAGAATAAATAAAAATAATAATAATAATAAGAAGAATAAGAAGACAGTCAAACACACAAACATCAATCAATCAATCAATCAATCAATCAATCAATCAATCAATCAATCAATCAATCAATCAAGCAAGCAAGCAAGCAATCAAACAATCAATCAATCAATCAATCAATCAATCAAATCAATCAAATCAAGTCAAATCAAGTCAATCAATCAATCAATCAATCAATCAATCAAATCAAATCAAATCAAATCAAATCAAATCAAATCAAATCAAATCAATCAATCAAATCAAACAATCAACCAAATCCATGCATCCATCCATCGAGTCAATCCAAACCAAACCAAACCACGCCAAACACACACCACATCAAGGAATCAATAAAATATACAACCGAGCAACCGAACAACCAACACATGCAAGCAAGCAAGCAAGCAAGCAAGCAAGCAAGCAGGCAGGCAGGCAGGCAGGCAAGCAAGCAAGCAAGCAAGCAAGCAAGCAAGCACGCACGCACGCACGCACGCACGCACGCAAGCAAGCAAGCAAGCAAGCAAGGCACGCACGCAAGCAAGCAAGCAAAGCACGCACGCAAGGCACAACAGCCGCGGCTACAAGACAAGAACACAAACATGGTAAAACAAAGGCGCAGTGGGGCAAGTGAAACGTTAGGCCTGGGATTACAGCTGCAGCCATGAGGCGTAGCAGCGTCTGGTCAATTGAATCGATCGAGTGCGCAAGCCGCAATTGAAGTTGATCACCTCGTCGCGTTGTGTTGGTCGCAGGTTTGAAATTATTCCCCCCTCTGAGATTTGTTGCGCCCCTGAAAGTCCTGAACGTGACCCTGCATGTTACGCTTCAAAAGCTGGGGAGGAAAGAGGACATCAACCTCGAAGCCTTCTTTGATGAGAACCTCCCAACATGGTCCCTTTCCCAATCATTCAATGCGTCCAGGTTTACTTGGGCAAATGGCAAAAGGGGGTGCAGCACAGTTCTAGCTCTGGAAAGAAGTCACATGCAAAAGGTCACACTGGTCGAACTAGGAACCCTTTGCTTCACTTTGAGCGGAGGCCCCAGACCCACATTGCGACCCACCCGTTTCAAACCTGAATTCCATATCTGAACCAGGGAAGCAAACTCCAGCTGAATGCAGACGTGGCGCCTCAGGCAAGGTGGAATCTGCCACGACTGCGACCTTGCGGTCCACACACTGAGCTGCCCTCCCCAACTTAACAGCTTGACTGTCTGTTTGATCAGAAGGTGTTTCATCAGCACGTAGTTTATTTGCATTGTAATCCGGAAACATTTGCACACCCTTTCAGCATGTTGCTTACATGTGCATACAGTACCAGCCGAATCTTGGCACGTGCAAGCCACGGCTGGAATGCCTGGTTACCTGGTCAACAAGGCTTCCAGTCGCGCACACACACACAGCATGATTCAGACCGCCTGGTGACCTTCCAACTGTGTGACCTTTTGGACTAGGTTTGCCTGTAAAACAGGGGGACCCCCAAATGGTTGGTTGCATCTTGGTCGCTTATTGAACCGCAAAGGGTACACATATATGTATGTATATTTATAATACACTCATAAAATATTATATATATAATAGTTCTGATTGGCGGAACATAGGCCTCCGTTTGCAAACTCACAAGCTCACACACGTTTGGTATGCAAGAGTGGGTGCAGCACGCTCGAAAGTGCTGTTGGATCATCTCCAAATAGTTGTAATCCCAGTCAACATCAAACAGGGGGGTCTTTCACACTGTCACCTCAGATGCACTTCCTAAGATCCCAACATAAACCTGAACACAAATAAGGCGCCTCCAAAATGAGGCCCCTTCGTGAACAGCTGGTGGAAGTGCAAACTTCCATCGCATTGAGCTAGTCTAAGACTATCCAACTGCTATGCCCATCCCACATATTCCCGTCCCACCAGCCCACCCAGTCCCTCGATTCGGTTCCCGCAGCCTGTCTGGGGAATGTCGCGATGGGCGGCACTGCACCAGGTAGGCACCCCGTCACGTCCGCCACCTCCTGGCTTCAAAGTAAGCTTTTGCTTGCCAAGTAAGCTTTGTGCTTTGGTTGTCTTGCTTGGTTGCTGGTTGTGCTTGCATTTATGTGCTTTGTTGGTTAGTCAGTGTAAGCAAAGATCACCGCGCGTACAAGCTCATCAGATACCCCTGCCTCTTAAACTGGAAATACAAAGCATAACAAACCCCCGCAGCACGGGTGGCTGTAAAACCCATTACTTCAGGTTTGACCCGATTTTCAGGCTGGCCAGATCATGCCAGATCTGGTCGGCAAGGAACGACTATGTTGAACCGCGGTTAACAACCCCTCCTCTTCTGTAGCCATGCGTGTGCCTTTGCCATGCAGCGTGCGGACCTTCTTCCAGCTCAGCTTGCAGTCCTCGACGTGTCGTGCCACAACCAGTTTCATCCCCCGGCAGTTGGTTTCATGTTTTATGTTTTTGTCCCCCTGCCCCAGGTAAAACAGAGTGTACGTCAGGGTGCCTAAAACGGGGTTCGGTCCCTTTTGACACGCACCAAGTTGGCACTGAGCGCCAAGGGCGAGCCATTGTCTTTGATGACTATCACATGTTTTGCCTAGTCTTGTTGTCCTGCATCACTCTGGTACAAAGTGGGGCTGGCTAGAAAGCAAGGAACAAAAGGGACCCATCAAATCTGAGATAGTACTTGACCATATTGTCCGAGATCCCTCTGAAGATGCCCAGATTGTGCAAAACCTGTTTGCTGCTGCCTCTAAGCTTCTGCAGGGAGCACGGCCAGCAGCCACTCGCCCTTCCCTGTCCTGCAAAGCGCGCGTTCGCGGCGATGTGGGTTTCAACACCTTTTCGCTTGAAAGAGAAGCCAAAAAGCAAGCCGCCACGATGATGGAATTGCGCGGACTGGTTCTTTCTGGCCGAATTTACGAGTACCAAGCGCATACATATCATACATGCTGGTAAACGGAAACAGGCTGCAAAATGGATCTTCAAGGCAAATATCATGACACGTGTGCAGACTTCAAAGCTGAACCCGGCCTGCCAAAACGCACTTTCCGGCTAAACACCCCGCCCCACGCAAAGATGAAAGGCAACAGTTACTCAATGTCTGGCGCAAATAAGTTAAATACCACAAGTACATGGTACGCGGTCCACGGCAGGTACACACATGAAATCGAAAGTTGGGCATCGTCGCTCCAAGACATTGCTCACCCTGGTCGGTAGTTCTTGTTGCTCGTGCTTCCGTTTTGCGCTTCGACTTGTGCACAAACAGGAACCACGGATCATCGATACGCTTTCCATGATACGCTGCGCAAGCACACACAAGTTGTTTTACGAGAGGCACTGGAAGTCTGCGGAGCTTCACAGAACTTGGCGCGGGTTCTTGTTCAGGTTCAGTCACCAGCGTAGAATACTAGGCGTCTATGGGAGCAAAGGGAAAGACCTGGGGCTGCAGTCCACCCGCTTGACACTCGGCATCAGCCGGAATTTACGGCCAAAGGTCAACAAGTGTTGGCGCCTTGCGGCCAAAACGCAATGCCACTCAGTCCTCAGCAGCATTGCCTTCGCGCCACTGTGCAAAGTGACGTCCTTTCAGGGAGCAGCGTCAACAACAGCAACGTCCAATCATGGCAAGATTTAGAAACAAGGGCTCCTCACAACGGCCTAGGTTAGTCGACACGCTCCCATTGCAACCTGATGAGTATCTGTGCAGAGTAAGCTGAAAGCGTGAAGCTCCGGTCTCCAAATCGGTGCACACTAAAGCGTTCAAAACATATTGCCGCTACAAACTCAAAATCGAAATTTAAATATTCCATGCTAAAACGGGTGGGAACTGGGCCCCGCCCACCTCCCCGTCTTGTCCCGTCCTGCCAGCCGCCAGCACGGCGCACGCGCACCGAGTCCTCCGACGTGCGGCATGCCTCGTGGGGGCCCAGCGCAAGAAACTTGGCGCCGCTGAGCAGAGACAGGAGCCTCCCAGGTTGCGGTCACCGGAGAGGACCCATCCATTATGTCAGGGAGAGCTCTGGGTGCACTGCCTATCAACTCGATCAGCATGTTAGGAGCTGACAAAAATCCGTCGACACGAGGAATTGGGGAGTGAAGAACGCTGCATTGTGCTTGTCAGGCCTCATGGGCATCGAGAGATCAACAACGCATATGGGAGGTTGCCGACGTTGCGTCGACCGGCAAAATATGTTTGCCCAGGGCTTGGAAGTGGCAAGCACTTGGATCTATTCAATTTGTATATGACACAGTCGTCGCCAAAGGAATGGCTCATGAAAGGGGTACAGTGGTTGAGTGCGAAGAATACCGTGGATCTTGCTACCATGTCCCCGTTCGTTCCAGTGACCGTTTTCAGTGCCCGTCAAAAACACGTCCCTACGAGCCTAGAAGCGATCACCCCCCCCCCATTTTGGGGAACTCGAAAACTGAGGGGAATCGTTGCTCTCCGTTGGCCAAATGGACAGTACGAGGTCGGTTTGCGGAGCTGTCACCGCTACACTCTCGAGATGCCAAGGGTTCCGGAAATGGCGTTGGTGCATGTGACCCTTGTACAGCCCCGAAGAATGTGTTCTTTTCTTAGTGGTGAAAATGTTACCCTCCAACCATAAAAGTGATCCCTTCAATTTATCTGACCGAGCAAACAGTTGAACCACGTCACGTTATACATGGCTATACACACCATATTCACTGTGGGATGTGATGATTCAAATGGGGCGGCACAAAGAAACCATAAAGAACTGGGGAGCTTTGCAAACTGAAGAAACCGTGACTGCAAAACATCTGCTTCGCAAGGCTTCAACCTCCTGGAGTAGGTGGGGTGGGGTGGGTGGGTGGGGGGTGCGGCACCCTCCATGGAATGTCATCAAAAGACACGTGGTTTATGAGCTGAGATTCGAGCGGCCGGCCATTCGAAAGGAGTTTGGCAACATGTGCGAAGCGAACCAACGGACACCCAACTCTGAGAACACAGGGCTGCCTCTCATAAGTGGCCGGGCCAGGCGCCGCTAGCTCTTCTTCCAGGTAAGCGCCAGGATGCCTTGGTCTGCCCTAAACCCAAGCCCCCATTCAGGGAATGTGTCGAAACCAGGGACCTCTTTTGCGTTATCTCCAAGGGAAGCATGAATGAAACCAGCCAAAGCTGTACGGTCCAGTTCTGAAAGCTGATTGAAAATAAGGCGATAGGTTTCCAGTCTTTAACCATGATGATGTTGAGTAACAGCCATTTGCAGCCAGCTCCTGTTCAAACAAATATCAAAGGACTGGCAAAAAAACATACGAGTTACCTGGGGGGGGGGGGGCGGGCGTCAACGACTCCATCAGTCCAGGGTGGGATGCGCTCAATTTCAGAAGGCCTTTCTTTCTCCTGGATTTGTTGGGTGCCAATGGTTGATGATAGGTGGGAAAAAATGACCCTAAGGAATACATTCGTAGGCCCGTGTTCCTTTTGTGGTTGGACAACTGGGCAAAATGGAATTGGGCCTCATCCTTCCTCCAAAGGTAGGGTGGATCCTCTTACCACTATTTGTCCAGTTGCTTCCACTTAAGCTTAAGAAGAAAGGATCAATCCCGTTCCCAGTTTTCGCTAAACGAAAGAAGAACTAGGCACCCATTATACCCTTCCCATGTCAATTCGGTTTTGGTTCGTAGAACACTCAAATTGGTACCCCCCCACCACCTCCCAGGGCTTGAGGCAGGGGGTATCACACATCTCAGAGGACGGCTTTTCCTGCTGAGGCGGGCAGTATGCAAGCCTGGACAAGGTCCGCACATCATGCCATGACTGGAGTTAGGCTGTCTCATAATGAGTTCCATTGTTTTGCTACACTTCATCTACCTTCATGTTTGCCCCGCCCAACCCGAGAAATCATGTTTGGTTGGTCCATATTGAGTAAATCTAAAGATGTAAAGGCCCCAACATAAATAGAAGCACGCGTTGCAACCCCGGTGTCGTGTTTCCTCCAACTTAAGAAAAAAAACCATGGGAGCAAACCTTCCGTAATCATGCTGTCCTCATGTTCAATGTGTTTTATGACAAATCATAAAGCAGGCTACATGGGACATTGTGTGACATGCTTAGTCCCCCCATCTTATCCTGAATAATTATGTTGGTAATTCTCAAGCCACACATTTGGGTTTGAGAACCTTGACCTTGAGATCAATAAGTTGCGAACATTGTGATCCCATGTGTCAAACGCTTTCAATCCTTCGCCCAGCTGCATGGTGGCCGTTCCCGGCGCCGACATCGTCGCGGCAGCTTTGCCACCAGCACCTCGTGTTGAAAGGGGCAAGCAAGCTTGCAAAGGGCAAGAAAATGTGGGTGGCGCGAAAAAGGCAACCACAGGTTGCCGGGTTTCAACGGGGCAACCAAGTGTAGCTGGTTCCAGCATCTACGTTGTAGGGCTCACATCTTGAGCCATGCCCACCTCCACATCTTCGGGTCGCAAAGCGCCGCAGCCCACTCCTCAACTCCTCGAAGTCGGCCACCGCGACGGACCCTTCAGCCAGGAGAAACAAAACGTGACAAAACGTGACGCTTTTGCAGCATCTCTTGTGCTGGCCTTGCTGAAAAGTGCTTGACTTCTTGATCAGTGGATGAACCTACTATCTGCGCCAATCAAATCCAGGAGACTATTCTTGAACGGTCAATGAAAACTGAGGACTGGTTGTCCCTGCCTTTGCCTGAGGTCCTGGATCCCGGGCCAGTGAGTTCCGAGGAAGAGGCCGCCATTTCCGCCACAAATGAGGCGATGACGTTGAGGTCTGCAGCCTTTTGAGGCACGATGTGGTGTCCTGTCGGATTTGCAAGGCGCATGGGCCGCCTTCGGAACATAGTGAGTCGAAATGACATGTCGAACCGGACTATCCCAAGTTACTACCCTAGGGTGGCCGCGTTGTCCTCACAGAGCATGTTCCAAAAGGTAAATTATTGGAGTTGCGTATAATTGAGTTGCTGATAGGGGCCTCAATGATTCGATCGAGGTGGGTTGAATCGACAAGCGGTACTTGTGTTTATATCCCTTTCCCTTGCTACCCTTTGGTGAAAATCGTGGACCCCTTTTTGGCTACCCTGTCCGAAGGCGGCACAATATGAACGCAGGCAAAAAGGAAACCCTACCTTTGACAGTCCTTTCATTTCTCTTTGCCTCTAGTCAAGAATCAAAGGATAATTCGCGTGTACTCCAATGACCAGGTACGGCTGAGTTGGGGGGATGTTTCCAACAATCCGGGACACCCTTTAATGGTGTTGAAAGGGAAAGCACAAAGGAACTAACCAATTTTAGAGGTACCCTTTTTGTCGCACCTGCTTAGCAATCCCAGTAGGCCAAGGTCGGCTAAAGAAAGCCTACTTGCTGCCAATGTTCTCATGGGGAAAAAGAACCCCTTTTGTTGTTGGTTGGTCCAGGGTTCAGGGACACGAACTATGTTCGAAGGCTTGTTCCTGCAAGTCAATGCTGAATTCCATGAGGGCCCGTCCCTTCTGGAACATGTGTGGCAACTCGGTCTCTTTACCATTTGGCTCCCTGCACAACGACCTTTGAAAAAAGATTGGCTCGAGTCGCAACACTTTAGGCCTGGAGCATGAAATGAACAGCGCCTTTGGATTTGACGGCAAACAAAAACATCGCTGGCAGCTTCGGTCCTGGATGCGCGTGCACTCTGGGGTTGCAGAACTTCTCACACAAAATCTTGCTGGCCCAGGGAGGGATGTGCGCATCTGCCTCCCCCCACACGTGAAGGCTCGGCACAGGCAGCGGATCCACCGGAAAGGCCAGGCCTCGCGGATCAATGGGTGCCCATGTTGGCGCCCCAAGATGAGTAGCTTCCGGTCATTTGGCTAAAATGAAGAGCCAACTAACCTATATCGCCTATATCATTAGAGGCTCATCAAAATACAAAACTGGAATTTCCCAACACTCCGCGCAACAGAAAAAAACGATGGCCTACATAAGGACCGGGCAAACTGCCTTTGTGAGGCCGCCGAACAATTGCCATGGGTTGATACATTCCGCGATTGAAATTCGGCTCAAGGCCTGACTGACGCTCTTCCAAGCTATGCGGAGATGTGGCTCCGTTTTCGGCGCCTGACTTGGCCGGGTGGGAAATCTACCATTCACTGAATCCCATCACGAAAGACACATCGGAAAACCAGGTAGACTGCAGTGGTTGCAACTGCGGTTCGGGGTAATCAACACAGACGAGGTGAAGGACTGCAGTTCAAACATACCATTTTCCGGGTCAGTATTTTGGCAAATGTGCCTGCAGGTGACCCTGCCCCAGAAAAGATGGCTTTCCCACTCGAGGTGCGTCGTAATGATGCTTTCCTGAGTATCATCGCTTTGTTAACTCAAGACCTACCATTTTGGGTCTCAACGATTATATTGAGAATTATTCAGGAATCGAAGGGCACATGCTATTAGTGCAACATATATGGGGGTTGCGCAAAATTACCTCTCCTGAAAATTGCCCTTCCGCGGCCCTTTCGCAACCTTCCACGCACTTCCACGCCCATTGTAAATCTACACACAAGTTATCACTGGTTTTCGATCAATGTCTTCGGTTACTGGCCATTCCGCATCTCTTCCGCCGCCCTTTCCCGCACACAGTGGGAAGCTCATGCCATGTCAGCCTGGAAATTCGGAATACTGAACCGAATACATGGGTTTTAGCACGACGCCCGTCTGTGTTGAAGGGGCTCCCATCAAAAATGTGGTTTTTGTGTTGGTTTAAAGGGACCCTTTTAACCACCCTGCAGCACCAAAGCACAAACCCATGTCTTCCCTGAGCAGCTTGTTTCAAGAAAACAAAACAACTCATTTCACACCAACACACTCGATTAGGAGAAAGCCGCTCAGATGGAAAAATGTTTTGGTGCGTGCCCGCCAATGTCCGCTCATGTGCCGCTCATTTTCCGGGAGATCAACTGTCCAAATCCACGTTTGCTTTCACTTATTCCCACACACACACACAAAATCTGAAAGCAAAACAAAATGCCCAGAGCCCAAAGAGATCTGACCACCTGGAAGACCCAGGTGTTGACCGCCGGGCGCTGGGCGCCTTCCGGCGCCGGCTTTCCGAAGCCCGAGATGAGCACCGCGAAGCCGGGCACCGAGGCGCCGTTTTCGGCGCTCAGCTCCGCGCAAAGCAGCGCCGCCAGGATGGCGCCCTGCGAGAGATGACCGAGAAAAGCCGTGCGGCTGTGGGTCAAAACCAATTGGATCTTATTTTGGTTGGTAGGTGCACCACCCATTTTAGTCGGAATTTTAGTGGGGATTGTGTTCACTGGGGGTACGGGCTTTTGACCCATGGCCATGCAACTGGTGGTTTCCTGTAAAACTGACCCCTGGTTGATTCCCTCATTCCCTGCGCAGCAAAATGAAAGGCAACGAAACCAAACTTCAGCTTCCCTCAAAAAGGGTGGGTTGGTTACTGGACTTCTCCAAATGTTTTCAGGTACCCCTTAGTTGGTGGCTCAGATTGAAGTAAATGGGAAACCACTCCCTTGCTGGGAAACGCTAGCTTTCGCCGACCTGCGTATCAAGTTGACAGGCAATTTGTTGGCTGCCCTGCCTGAGAGAAGCCCAAGATGCCATCGTAGCCCTTGGACCACTCCTCGGTAATCCGTGGAGGCCGGTCTGAACAGTATCCGAACAACTGAACAGTATCCCAAGCTCTGAATATACGCTTGATACAGAAGTCTTACCACGCCAGGACCTGTGTAAGTGTTTGTGGGTGCGTGCCTTATCTACCGATCAAAAACTATGCTACGAGTAGTATCCTGCAACGCTAACAGCCTTGTGAGAATGTGTTGGCGCTTCAGAAGTGATACAAGATGGTGCGGAGGGGCTCAAGAACGCCCCAGCATTGCACACGTGACGACATATCAAGCAACTGGCGGAACGTGAGGGAACGCCCTTGCCAGTAGGTCTAAAGCTGCTCCAACGGCCAGACAATCATCTGATACAGCATCCCCTTAAGAACATCATTGTACTCTACTCACTGCCTGATTGGCTTGAACGCTTAAACTGGTGGAATAAAAGACGCAGGACATTTCTGTGGGTGTCTCACAATAGGAACGCACTTTCTTTTAATGGCAAGGAAGGTTACACCTACAGCAAGCCGGTGCCACAAAGGAGGGGTCCACCTAGTTGTCGGTTTCACCCGCGGAGAGGGTCCCACTAACTTCAGCTGACACGCCTTCTCTCACTTTACGAGTCGATTGGCCCAACAACCTTGACTCTTTGTTTTCCCAAAAGGTATGGACCACTCGGGTCACCCTTTAGAAGTCCACGACTCGTGACGCGAGAGACCCAAATTTGTGGCGTGCCTTTTTTTCAAGGGTACCGACAGTGTGGCTCAAGGAAAACCGGCAGAAAGCACACCCCAAAATGGAGCTTTGGCCAGTCCTCATCCACGGGAAGACTACAAAGGAGATCGAATTCAGATTCTTTAGCGGATCTTGCGGATTTGATGAGATTGAGATTCACGGGGTGTCAAGCCATGGGATGGGGCTTCCCCCCTGCGTCCCCATACCTCCCCATGGTTTTCATCCGGGGGGATTCATTCGGTCTCGTCAGGGTCCCAGCCGCTTTTCTTGCTGATCCTCAGCAGGGAATGAGAAATGGAATGACCCCTGTAAACTCCATCCATCCGATTTGGTTCCTTTCTTCGGGAATGACCAAAACCAGTTCATTCAACCAAACCCTGTAAACCATGGAGTGTCCTCTGTTCGGGACTCCCCCAAAACCCGGAGAACCACTGGATTTCCAACACCCGGAGTCGTTTTTAGCCGGCCGCGGCGCCGCTCGTACCTGGGCCAAGCTCTCCTGGAGCCCAAGGGGCTGGAAGCTGGGCCGCCGCAGCAGCGTGTCCGCCAGCGCTTGGATGCCCTCCGCAGACCCGTCCCACACGTCCTGGACGGAACCCGGGGGGCTGTGTGGACCCCGCGAACTCGTGTTCTTTTTCGTGTCTTGTTTTGTTGGCGCCCATAATTAGACCAAAAGGTACGACGGAGGTGGACAAACAGGGTCCCATATTAGAAAAAAAGCCGGACAGTTTGGAGCCAAAGTTCGATGAGGAAGCGATGCAACACCTGAAGTGAATTCAACGAATAAGGGGTTAAAAGCAAATTGAGTATTGTATGCAAACCATCAATGCAACAAGCAACGGGTCCGTTCAATACCAAAGGTCTCCCAGCGTATATTGAGTCTGGCTGGGATAGATCACCATATAAGCAGTTAAACCTTCAGCCCAAATCATCTCGGGACGGGGCCGGAATGTGTAGTGGGCGACGTAATCCAAAAGGAAATGCTTCCAATCCATTATGAGCAAAATGCCGACGTGATGAGCATTCCAGGAAGGGCATCCAAACCCTTCTCAGACAGCCTTCAAAGGCAACACCTTTTTTTCCCCGTTAGGTGAAGCAGTTCCGATTCAGGGTCTGTCCCCAAAGCCTCCCGCCTCGCTGTACAGCCACCAGCCCCGCAAGCTGGGATCATAGGGCAGCACGTGGGGCGCATCGATGGCTTGCACGGTCGCGAATGGCTTCAGCTTCCGCAACAGCTCCTGAGGGGTTCCTTCGGATTTGTCTTGAAACCTTATTCCTCAGACGGATTTTTTTTCTGGGGCAGGGTTCCTTTGGTTTTGTTTTTCTTTTTTTTGATGTGGTTGGGAATGATGCAAAAAGCATCAAAACGCGTTCGAGACGGACCATCACAAAGTTGACATGTGGCATGCTGATTCCCTTACACAACCGTCCTCGATAGGGTTGGTGGCTTTCAAATGCTACCACGCCATTTTCCAAGTAGGTTGCACTTGCCCCGTTTGGTTGTGAGGTTGGCTGGTTCGGTTGGAAAACCCGTGAGACAAACAAACGCTTCGACGAAACTAGGAAAGCCATGTTGGCCTCAACCCACAAGCATGGAAGTGCACAACAAGGTCCTGTCAAGAAGAACATCATGCTGTGGGTTCCCTTGAAAACTATCCGACAGTCGGGGCAAAATTGCGTGATTCCCTTCTGGAGCTGAGTCTCTCTTGCGTTCAAATCACACAAACTTGAACCCAATCAGCGTGCTGCACCATGGCCAAGGTCCCTCAACGTGGCTATCACATGAGGGATGGATTGTCAAAGTTACACCCGGCAGCCTGGGAGCCATACCCCAGAGGTCGATCTGATGCTGGAGACATCCCTTGAAGTTGGCCTGGCGGGTTGGTTTAGGGTTCGTCTATATACTCGGTTCAGGGTTGGCTTAATATATTAAAGGTCGGCTTGGGGCTGGTTTCGGGCTAACGGTCAAACAGAAGCAATAACCCCAACCCTATGAAAGCATGGGGGGGACCTCCGGGATACCTTGCGCAGCATGATTTGCAGGCAACACTTACAAAGTGGCCATGAAGAAACAGAACTGCTTGTCTGCTTGGCCAGCTTTCATTGGACCTCCCCGTTTCGGAAAGAAACAAAGACACCTTTGGTCAGGGAACATTCGAACCAGGGCTCCCAACTTTTGAACTGGCCGGAGCCAAACAGGGTCTATATACAAGCACATGTTTTATGGTGTTTGAAGAATTTGCGTCCACCCGGAGTCCACCCCACTCAACTCGGCTTTCCTCCTCTCCTTGGCCCGTTTCTGCACAAAGACGTCCGCATTCTGCCCGAAGCCATGCAGCGCCAACAGGCGGAGGGTCATACGTCAGCGTTCGATGTGGCTGTGTATCAAACGTGCTTGGGGACGGATTCACAAGGGGACCTCGCTCTGTCTGAACGTGGCTTTCCTTTGACATGTTGCTTTGAATCGGCAACGGGAAGAGCTCAATGCTTAGGCCATTGTTTCTGGTTTTTTTCGGGTTCAGGTCTGATGTCATTCTATGCTCAGCCAAAACATCTCCCCACCTTCTGGTCCACCATGTCAACCCGCTTCATCTATATAACTCTAATTTCTTGTTGGGAAGGCCTGGGCAAGTGTTTGTTGTATCAGCAGCTATGATGCGCGGTGAGCCAAAAAAAACACCATGCAAATCGCAAGCTCATTTGGGGACCGTGCTCATTCGCCGCTAGGCCCTGCACCCCATTGACCATTGTTGCCTGAATCCCCTCTACATACTTGTAACCAGATGGGCACCGGCGATGAGCTGCTGCTTCAAACAAGCAAAGCGGGGCATCCTTCCACCCTGCATTGCAACTTGCAGTTCGAATCGATGGCTTGGACGCCTCAGCTGCCTGAACCTCCTCCGTCTGCGTGACGGGGGCTTCCTCTGTCGTGGCAGTAGCCTCTCGATGAGCCTGATGAGCCTGGAGCAGTTGGTTGGCTGGTGCCGGCTGGCTGGATGGTTGGTTGGTTGGTTGTCTGGGCACTGGTTGGCTAAACTGTCGGCCAGTCGGTCGCTTGGTTGTTTGGAAAATTGGTTGGTTGTTTGTTTTGTTGATTGGTGGCTTGGTTGGCGGTTTGATTGGTCGGGTTGGCTGGCTGCTTGCTCGGTTGCTTGCTAGCTCTTCGACTCGCTTGCTTTCTTGGATACTTAGTTGGTCTGTCTGGGTCTGGGCCGGTGGGCCTGGCCAGTCCACTAACTGATTCGATGGGTTGGCTTCTACTTGCCGGCAGCACCCTTTGTGGAAACGTAGCGTAACTCGCACACATATATATATATATATTGATTTAATATATATATATATATATATATGTATACACGGAACGCGACACCTCTACATCAGCTCCGCCAAGAGCACGTGCACAAAACAAAAGCCTAAAGCAAAACACGAGACGTGGGTAAAAGCCAAAAGCAAAACCACAAACCTATTCTACAATTTTGCGGTACCAGTAAGAGTCAGCGAAGTCCTTGGGGGGGGGGGGGTGATTCGCTCTCTTTGACACTCGCCTCCTCCACCTCCCGCACCAAGACTTGCACGCTCAACGTTGGTGTGTACTTCGTCTCGGAGGTTTGGAGGCTCAACTCCCCATCGAAGCCACCTGACAAAATCAGAAAACCAGACCCGTAGGGTTGAGTCGAACTCAAAACGACTCCTATTGAACCCAGCTGGTTTGGTTTCCCTACAGGGCCCAGGGTCTGCCAGTCCAAACCAGTTGTACACAGCCATGCCCGTCACAGGCTTTCGGTGCAATCAGCATGGTCTTAAGCATGGATGGGGACCACCCTTTTGGTTGAAAGGCAGCAAACAAGCCTGATGGCAAATGATTCCTTATACCAAGAAACAACATGGAGCCAGAATGTATTCACACCAAGGATGCGGAGATGCCAGCTTCGCATCTCACCTTCATCGCAGCCATTGCAGATTGCGGAACGAAGCACTAGTTGCCATCTGCATCCTTGTTCACAATCACACTTTGGACTCTCTCTGAAAACATTTCCGAAAATGGTCGAGCGCTGTGTGGAAAGACTGGCGCACAAAAGAACCAATTGCCGGAAATTACCAACCCCTGCCCGGGCTGTAAGGGAAGCAATGCAAATTGGCCTCAGGGTCATTGCTCTGGCTCGCAGCATCAGTCCAAAAGGAGAGGAGAGTGCGATGCACGCGACCCTGGGTGGATTTCGGCGCTCATGAGCCCGAGTCCCCAAGGTGCCGCATATAGTCTTAAGAATGCTGCACTGGCCACACACACACACACATCATTCTGCCTTGGATGAGAATCATCCACCAGCCTCAAGCAAGGAACTCCAAAGAAAGGAGTTGAGCATCATGGGTTTCGCACCCCACCCCCAAAAAAGACAACAAGAGGTTTCGAATGGCTTCCATTACTGGGATCATGCTTTCATGCTGTTTCTGACAGCTGCTCATTTAGGTCCCCGCGAATTTCCAGATCCCGCGCCTGGCTTGTGAAACTGGCTGTTGTCCAGCACGCACTCGCCGAGCAGGTCGTTGCCGCCCGCCTTGTCGTAGTCCCAAACCTTGAAGGAGAGGCTGTCCCCGTGTTCCTGAGCGCAGTCATGAGCCCCTTTTTGTGCGGGGCTTAAGGAAAAACCAGAAGGAAACAAACGCCAATCCTGATCAGCGTAAGGTGATTGAATGCATTCGATAGCACCAGCGTAAGGGAAAGCTAAGGCCAACTCGCGGAACAAAACAGCGTGTGTCGAGTAGCAGAGATCCTAAATTGGTTTGTCAAAGGCAAAACCTCAGAAAGGAGCGCACGAAAGCCAGCAGCAGCCACGCAAAAAACATTCATGCGCGTGGGATTGCTTCAGATACAGGAGGCACAACTCCAACAAACCTTGACCACCAAACACTAAACGAGTCTATTTGGCACTGGATTCGCTTCTTTGTGCGTGAGTATCCGCCTTGGATCAGGCCCTACAATCTAGCAGGAAACATCTATAAACACCGACTTATGTGCTTCCTCGAATGTTTCTATGTATGTAATAAATATATATTTTCATATACATGTACATTACTCATATGCTCAGCTCAGCAACAAAACCTATTGTCCGTGCTAGTGTTTACGCATAGGACAATCCCTCTTCATGGTAAAGAAGAGTTCCCACACACACACAACAAGTTGGAGGCTATAGATGCTTTCTTGTGAGATTAGTTTTCGCGGTCCTGTTCCCCATCCCCCTCCTGACCAGGAGCTCATCTGTAGTGACACTCACGACTACCCTGTACATGGTCGCAAAAAGGAAAACAGCGAGGTTCAAACAGGAAAACCGCCAGCAACGCCTTCAGGATTTGGCTGAGCTGCATAGCGGTGCTTGTCTGTCAAGGTCTCATTCCACACAGGATCCAAGGTCCTCGACTTGATGGTCGTTGATGACCTGCCGCGGAAGGGTCCCAATATGTCCACTCAAGGATGCCACACAATCCGCAGTCGGACAAGCACAGGCACCCAAGGCTTGGCTTTTTAACCACCTAAAAGTCGCCTGGAAGCGCTTGGATTGGTTGCACTCTTGAAGGGGCACCTCTATACTTTCTAGCCTGAAGTGAGCCATAAACAAGAACCGCCCGCACAGTGGGGCTGCTGGTAGACTTTTGCCTTGTAATTCCGGTGAATCGCCGGTTAGTTTGTTGGGGCCTGCAAGCGAAAGTCTTTAGTTTGCCTTCCTGTGGAGCAATCACCTGAATGTTCTGAGCCCCAAACAAACGTGACAATCTCAACAATACCCTTCAAAAATGTGGCAACCTCTCCAAGCGCTACCACTTCTAGTGAACCAGGACCTTGCGGGAACTCAGCACGCATCAGAAAACTTGGAATCTCCGAACAATTCCCCCACGCAAAGGGTGTCGGGTTGAGGTCCGATCCCCTTCTGGCAGCCAGCTTGGTGTTGCCTGGAGAATTGCTTCCCCACCAGCTGGACCGAGCAGAAGGGATCCGACTTGCCATTGGCATCCGCAGGAGGCAAACCATCTGCATGACCTGAGGCCGGAATTTGGGGGCGCCACCATGAGACACCAGAAGAATAAGATTAAAAAGATTGGTACGTTTGGCTGAGTTCCCTTTGGGTGGATGACATGAAAAGAGACAAAGCAGCAACCCCCGAGTTTGCTGATGGTGTCTTAGGGGGGCTTCCACGGCCAATTCTGACATCAGAATGCCCGTAGTTCCGGCTGTCAGCTTAGGTGACATGCTTCGCTCCACATGTGCTAATGTTGGTTTTCACATCCAAATCTTTCCCAAAAGGATCTGTATAGCTTGAACCAAGCTTTACTGTGAGCATCGACAAACAAGGCTGACCTGAAAGTGGCCAAAACCGAAACCCGACGTGGCGATTCGCTTTTCAGTCGGCAATGTCTAGTTTCATGCAAAGTGCCAGTTGCACATACGGACAATCTGGCTACATAGTAGCCAGCAACAAAACATGTGAGTCGTTGCAAAGGTGATTTCTAGGCAATGGACGTCAATCCCCTTCCGCTTCAGCTCCTTCTCAGTATGGACATTTGCTGAGTGCCAGCCAATGTTGGTGGTATTCCCTTTATATATATATATATATATATATATATGTTTTTTTAAGAAAAAACAAAAACAATAAAACATGTTCGGTTGGCGAGTGCTGTCCCTGCGCCGTTCCTTGGATACCCCTTAAATATTTGTGGCCATACGCATCTGAATGAGTACCACTCCAAAACAACACCCTTACAGTACCAAGTGAAAAATCAGGCTAGGCATAAACAACATCCACGCAAACAATCAAAATGAAGGCTTGTACCTATCTCGCATTCGCATACCCAATCATACCCAGGTTTGATTGTGGCTCTAGTACCACTGCGCTGGTACTTGGTATTGTCAGTTCGTTGATCTGATGTCCCCATCAAATCCACCATGGCAGCTGACTTGGCATGCTACCAGGAACTGTGGAATGCTCTTGCCTGCTTGAAGCTAGGAACCTTCACATCATGTCATTCTGCCACCTCAAATGGGATATTCTTCGACTGGCCCTACCTCAACTTGGCTTCTGGGCACTTGATACGGTAGCTGTTTATCTTCATTCGTCAAACATGAAGCAGGACCCGAAGCACGAGTTCTGCAGGTATGTCCGGATGCTTGATTTTCCACCAGGGAATTTCTCCCTCGAGCCCACCAGCCCACCAACCCAAACTCACTGTCCCTGGCTACTCCCAGCCGTTTCGCGGGGGGGGGGGGGTAGAGGGGGTCTCAGGGGGGCTGACTGGGCCGGTGTCGTTGAGCTCAAGGGGCGCACCAGGATGCTCACCCGGGGCAAAGGTTCTGGAAAGGCCGTGACCTGGATCCGAAGTCGGATGCTGGGGCTGTAGCCTCGGCACTGCGCAAAAGCCCCTGCGTCCGCCCCTGGGAAAAGTGTGTGCTTGCTGTTGTTTGGGGGAGTGGTTCCAATCCCTGCTGAGGATTTTGGGTTTGCTCTTTTTGGGGAGTGGACCTTTTAAAGAAAAAGCGACGAAAAAGAAGAGACGGCTACTCAGAGGGCTACTCCCATCCCTCCAATCCCTCCATCTCAAGGGGTGCCTGCGCGCAAGTGTGCTGAGGGCCGAGCCTTTGAGCTTGGCCAACTCCGGCGCCAAGGTCATGGGCCAACTGCCGTCGAAGCCTCCTTCACGGTGGAACTCCTACGCCATCGCGCGGCTGGAACCGCGCAGAATGCAGGGAACGGCGCGCCGGGCAACAAGCACCAGAAAAAAAGCCGGAATGCAGGGCGCGCCATCGCGTGCCCTTCGCACAAGAAAAAGCCGGCTACGCAGGTTAAGGAAGGCAATACCAAAGATCTGAACTTGGCGTTTCAGAAGTACAATCTCCCTCTGACGGTGTGACTGCCAAACTCCCGCTCTGAGAGGCTCAAGCACCTTGGCATAGGGAAGGCCATTTTTGTTTGGCGGTGTCTGGAAGAAAACCCAGGCAACAAATGTCTCTTGCAAGCCTGTCGCGAAAAACGTGCTTCGCGGGCAGAAACAAACATCAAAAACCATGGCCTGCGGGGGTGCGGGGCAAGGGCCGGTTTAAATCACGGAATCCTACAACCAAGGGGCCCCTTTGTTGGAGGGGTGCTCACTCGCAAGTGGTTCCTCCAAGGGAACCAACAAGTTGGAATGGTCGACGCCACCTCACAATGTGGAATGTTCGCTGATGGAATGTATATGTATGTGGAATGATAACCCTGTCCAGGCGGTGTTGTCTCAAAATGGGCGATCCCTGTTTGGTCGATTGGTCAATGTGCACAGTTGGAAGGCCGGCGGGAAAACAACAAACCATGTATATAGGAATCTCCAATGTTGAGACACCCCCGTATCTTCATAATACCCTGCGAGACATATGTTTGTTGCTGGTCAAAAGAAACACAAAACAACAAACAATTGGCATGTCATCGGCGTGGTGCATTCTGCAACGAATTCAGGCTTCACGAAGGAACTTCACAATCTGTCAAACGAGAGATGTTTGATTGGACAAAGGGACATCTAGCGCGACCCGAACGACTCCCGGAGCAGGGCCATATCCAACACCCCCACCTCTGACCGAGCAATTGTGCCCGAACCCATCGCATGTGGCTTTCTGCTTGCCAAGTCCTTGTTGGGCACGATGCAGGTGCAAAGCAGGTCGCCCTGCGCACAGCCCCTGTCATAGTCAAAGACCTCGAACAAGAGGTCATCCCCCTCCTCACGCCGAAAAAAAACCAAATCAACTTGTCGAAAAGAAGGGCTTCATGCAAGGCAATGGGTGGGGCCAACCTAGTCGAGCCATTTGCACAGCCTCCTTTTCGCTTCAACTGTGGCAAGCCCAATCCCTACCAAATGTGTGATGGAACCACATCGAGTCCCAGTCCTCATAAGCATAGTTCCCTGTGAGCTCCTCGCCCCACCTCAGCTCACTGATCTCTTGCAAAATCAACTCACAGATCGTCAGGTCTTGGACAGGCACAAGAACCTGAGTTGTACAAAAGGAAGCACTCAGTCGTCGCCGATTGGTATTTGCTACACGTGTATATATATATATATATATGATATGTATACAGTGGCACAGAGAGAGAGAGAGAGAGAGAATTTATTCCACAGTCAGCTCTGCAGTATGAACACACTATTCACGGATGGGTTCAGCTCGAGGTATGAGTGACTTGCGTGTAGCAACTTGTTCAAACGAAAAACAACAGCTCAATATGTGTCATGTGCAAAAACTGTGCGGACATCAACAATCCCCTTGGCTGTGGGGGTTCAATGCGAGTGGTCATGGCTATCTAAATAGGATCCCTTTTTCTAAGCCCTTAAAATACCATCTCTACAAGCCCGAAGTGAAAGAGGTATTGACCATGGCAACTGCCTGAGTTCATGGCGCCAAGGATTCCTAGTACAGAATTCCCAACAAACACAGACAGGTCAATCAATTTGGGTTCCCACTGCTTCGGCCAGGGCGCCTGGGATCCAGCGTCTTCTCCACGTATCTGGTCCGTGTCTTGGTGTGCGGCTTTCCTGTCTTGAAGCAACATTACATGGCGCGAAAGGTTGATCCCCCACGACTTTCACCCATAGTTCCTTTAGGAAACCTCCACTGAACATAGAAGGCGGACCTGCCGGGTGTCTGCAATTTCTTCTGAGCCACTTAAAGAGGCGTGCACTGGATCGAATTGACCCGCGATGCTGTAGGCGGGCCCAAAAAGCCGACCTTTGGAAGGGACCCACAAAACGAGGCGCAGCTCCCAGTCCATTACGGAGAGACGGAGAGACAAAGAGCCAGTGAGATGGAAAGTTTGACAGCCAGGGAGACTCGGAAACAGGGAGACAGAGACACATATACAGGAAGATGGGGAGATAGAGAGACAATGAGAGGCGAACAAACAAGAAGGCAAAGAGACATGGCCTTTCGGGGGACTGCACTAAATGTTACCGAGGTCTTCCCCAATGGTTGGCAGGCTATATATTGCGGAACGTATGTTTCAGCCTATGCTTGCCCCAAACTAGGAATCCAGGAAACAATGGCGAGGGCAACGCTTTCCTTCACTAACCAGGGTTTCTGAATAAGGTTTATTTCGGCTGCGTTTAAGGACACCTTCACATAAGTCCCTACGCTACGATTGGTGTTTCCTCAAAGAGGAGCACACGTCATGCATACCGACATGTCTCTCCAATCATAGCTGGCTTTGTTTGCCTGACGTGGTTCCGTTTTCCAGGCTTCAGCAACCAAACCGTGGGTAGGGTCCTGGGGATCGTGGATTTCTGGGGCCCTAGGAGACAAAGCCCTTGAGCTCGTTGCTCCCGAGCTCCCCAACGTCACTGACTTTCGACCACTCCTGCCAGCTGCATCGTGCAGTAGGGGTCCGCCTTGCCATTGACATCCGCTGGAGGCAGATTCTTCGCGGAGTAGACCGTGACCCGAAGAGCCGGTGCCCTGCGATTGGAATGCCGGCTGGCTGTCGAAGCTATCCTTTGAAGCCATTCAGGTGGGTCAAAATTAAACCACCAGGCGACCGCAGGTTTTGGTCCATGTTGCCACTTACCAGGTTCCATTTTGGGTACCTATTTTTGACCTACAGCCAGGTGTAGGTGGGAAGGCCCCAAACATGATACCATCCAGCTGGAGCGGTCCCAGCTTGTACCTTGCAAGGAGCAAGCAGCGCAACCCCAGTGTTGCAAGATGGAAGGAAACCAACATGTCCTATCAGATATCCTATCAGATATCCTATCAACATCGGCAGCAAGAAGTGGTCCACACGGCGAAGCAGCCGGAACATGCAAACCCATTAAAGGCCACACACTTGCTTAAGCCTCAAGCCCGACTACCATGGAAGATGCTCCATTGGGTTGGGACTCTCTGCAACAGACCTGTCAGGGGTGGCGTTCTAACAGAGCTCACAAGCGAACACCCACACACACACAAATAATCACACACATATTCATACAACCAATCAACGCCTATCTGAGATAGGCGAAGAATTGGAAGCAACCCTATCGACAAACATCGGATTCAATGGGCATACGCTTTGGTGCTACGCAATATCCCGTCGAGTCACAACGAAACCCTTCCACGGAGCCCTGACATTCAAGCACCCCGACGGCTGCGGGCCTGGGCAGCAGCTCCGGATAGCGGTTCATCAGGCGGTAGTACAGCTGCTTGAACTCATTGGAGGACAGGAAGTGTGAGTCCTCGGCTTGGTCAGGTGGGTTTCCTGAAGCAGGAATCCGCTCCCTACAATTGGCTGCCTTCCTTTTGGCGTTGCTCAAAGACAAACATACAACGCAAAGGTCCCTAATTCTTGGACGCTCTCCCCTAATACTAATGAACATGTGAAGCTCTGCCTGAATACAGGCTCTAAATCAATAGTTGTTGCGGGTACACTGCCTCATTTATCCGCCAGGCCGATTTTGTCCGGCAGGCCAGCATGAATTTTCGCTGGCCAATTGGAAGAGTGATACGCCCCCGAGTCTTGACGAGCTTGGAAGAAACGCTACACTCGGAACTTTCTTCACTCGCAGATTCTATCTCAGTCGGTTTCGAGGGGTGATTTCACTGGGCTGAATTGAGCTTGTTCCTTGTATTTCGCTTTGTGTCTGACATGCTTGCCTCCAAAAAGCATCACCCGATAGTCCATAGTGGCTGGTTGATGTGGGTCAATCGTACGGCTGAAAAGCACCTTTGGCCCACCACCCAATCGCACGACGGAAAAGCACTTTTGGGCCCTCCACCCGGGACCTGTTTAAACGTGTTTGGAGCACCGCACAACTGCTCCATCAATCTCATTTAGTGTTTCTTTCAGAGACATCACGGATCGCGATTCTTAACCCGATCTTGCTCAGCCCTGGTTGAAAGATGTTGAAAGGGAAGTGGGCAGTGCGCAATGCCTGAGCAACCCGAGGCTACATCCTCAATCATGCTTGGCTTCAAAACATAGGCGTGCGGGAGAGATTCCAGAAACTAGACATGTCTGATGGGCCATGCCGATAACTACTGTTCACTTTAGAGGGGGCTGCCCTGGTAACGCAGAAAGCAGTAAAGTAGCTCTGCAACACAGTTCCAACAATCAGGTCTTAAAAAAACATGCTAAACGTGGAAAGGGCTTCACGCTTCATGCGTGACTTGCAGCTCCTAACGGGCCTAAAAGGATCCACAAGGTCAACCAGGTTTGCTCTTGACTGACCCTGGCACAAGGATAAACCATTGGTATTTGACTCCCTCAAAGGAAAATTTTAACGGACACCGGAAACCGAAGGAGCCCAAAGGAAACCAAAACCATTCTCTTCCCTTCAGGTTTGGTCTGTCTGAGCCAAACACAACCCAGCGGAAGGCCAGGCGTCTGCGGAATGAGAGTCGAAGGCAAGCTTCGAGAAGGCCCCGAAGTCCTCTGCCAGCGCCTTCGGGAGGTGAATCAGATGGGGTAACCGGTACCAGGTCTTTGCTGGTCGGAATCGAATCCGGGTCGGTACTCTGATCTGTGAGACATGGAAAACGAGGGGCCGGTATTTGTGTTTGTTTTAATGAACTCCCAATAAGAAGCCCTGGACTCACACTGAAGTGGCATGCAATGACCTAGCAGCCCGGCCAACAAGCCGACCAATCACCGAACCTATCAGCCCACCAACCGACCACCCCACCCGACCAAACGACCCACAGACCCACCAAAAAACCAACCAACCAGGTTACCAACGCATTGACCGACCGACTGACGGACCAACCGACCAAACAGCCACTCAACCTGCTAGTCAGCCAGCCAGCCAGCCAGCCAGCCAGCCAGCCGATACACCAACTATCCAGCCAAGCAGCCAAAAAAAAACAAGCAAACACATGGCCAAATACGCGCTGCACACTGTGCATCAGCTTTTGCTGGAAATGGTGCCTTCTCCAACCCGATGTCCCGCAAGACTTCCTCAGGCAACGAGAATATAAGCGTGATGCGCACGCTCAGATTACCAGCTGGCAATGGCAACTTTGGGACGAAGCCATAACGACTGCAACTGCAAGATGCTTGGGTCAAAGTGTTCCCCTGGTTTGCTTGCCATAGCAATGAGTGCATGGTGCCTGTCAGCGAAGATCTTCCAGTGACCCATCGGCTTGGCCCCAAGTTTGCTTAAGTCCCTTGAAAAACAAAAACATATGTTTAGTGATAGATTCCCTTGAAAACCAACAAGGGAAAATGAAAACAATATTCATTTCAGCAAGTGGAAGATGACCACTGGACTGCCCCAGGGAAGTCCAGCTCATCGTAGTTCCGACTTTCTGAGCCACGTCAACGGGCGACATAAACCACCAACGACAGCAGCGCCGCGCCCGTTGTGCCTTGATAAATCATGAGCCGACAAATTGCAAGTTGATCCTGCGCAAGCCGAGCATCTGTCAGTGCACCACGTGGAAGCAAAGAGATGCCATCAAAGTCGTACCTTGGGTTAGTGGGGTACTTTTCGCTACGATGATGGGAGCTCTTGTCAGTGAACACGTGTGTATGTGTGTTTGTGTGTGCAGTCAATTGTGCAGTGAGGTGGAATTCAAAACCTCTGGATGAAGACTAGACCTCCGGAAGCCGTGCCAAACGTGAACTCTAGCAGTTGGGTTGGCTTGTAGCGTAACTCAGCTGGTAACCGCACTTTGGAGGTGAATCGCGCTGGATGACGCATACATCGTGTTACAATGGATTGTCGCCTGAACTGCCCCTCGGGCCCCTTTGGCTGGTGTCCCATACTTTCTGTGTGTTTACCCAGCGGCTCATACAAAGGGTTCGTACATGGCGCTCACACATTCAGCCTCTGAAAAGGGAACCGGGCCCTACTTGCAGGCATTAGATTCCTAGTTCAAGACAAACCCACATTTGAGAAGCGCCCGTAAAGTCTGGATCTAGCAAACTGGCACACAAGTAAATTGTCTGCCTAGGCACTCACTGTTCAGCATTAAAAAAAGGAGTACTACCTTTTTTTCTCACTTCCTGAGTGGATTGGCCCCCCAAAAAATCCAGATTTGTTATCTACCACTAACATCATGTTCTCTAAAAGTTTAAAGTCCAGGAACTCAGGAAGTGAATTTTGCTTTGCATCTATGCCGAAAACGTGCTCAACGCACCGCTCAACTGCAACCAGCTGCAACGCAAAGAGGTTCTCCGCGTCCGCCGAAGCGAGATCCGAGATCACCACCTCGGCAAAGGTTGTGACTTTTGTCTCCAATTGGGAAAAATATGGGGATCGATATGCCGTTCGGCCGGCAACGTTTCCCATTTAGTAGGAAAGATCATAGGGTTGGTTGGTTTCCTCAATGGTCATCCCATGGGAAGGACCTTTTGATCTACCTAGTATGGACCCAACATTGCTTGTCTCAGGGGATACAGCAAATAAGGCCGCCAAGCTGAATGGTCTGTTGAAGGGGCCACTCCATTCATCGAGGGTCACAACCCAACGTGGTGCCCAGAAAGCCTTCCAGCATGTCCAGAGGCAAACGCTGCGAGGGTGTTGAACAAAACTGAATGGTCTTATTCATTGCATCCAGCAGAGAGAAGAAAAACAAAAACTAACAGTGACACTGTCGCACATCCACTATAGTTCAGGGTGCCTATCATCACTTGTTGAAGAATTCCCTGTAGTCGGATTCTAAAAGGCAAGTGCCGGGTGTTCAGCGGGATTCTATGACTTCAGCGGGTGTGTCTCCGAATGAACCGCAAAAGGACACGCCCAAGTTGCCCAAGCAAGAATGAAGTCAAAACTCCTGTCCTGTCACACATCTTCTCATTTTGGATATTGAATATTGAAAGGAGAAGAGGGAATAGCACCGTTTTCTGGTGTCTTTCAGCTATGCAACGCCCTTGGCGCCTGCGATTTCACCGTGGTGGCCGCATCGATGCGCTGCGCCACGGTCTGAGATCTCACGGCGGCAGATTTGCGGCTGGCCATGAGGCGCGCAAGGAACGGGACTGCGCAGCTTCGAGGTAGGGCCTTTGAAAGATGAAAACGGATCCCCTTGACTTATTGGTAAAAGGGAAGCCAAAGCAGTTGTTGGGGTCTACTGTGGAACACCCGCTCCATTTTTAGTGATTGCATGTGTGCGTGGCTGGGTGGGGGGGTGGTTGGTGGTTGGGTGGGTGGGTGAGCGTGAATGTGTGTGAGTGTGGATGTTGTGGATTGAGCTTCAGGTCGGCCTGTTGCCTGAGCTTTCCCCCGATTCTGGGGCTGTGGCAAAATGGCGGCTGTGCTCACAATGTGGTTGTAGCCCGCAACGCAAGGACGAAGCTGGCAGAAGCTCATGTTGCTGTCAACGAAGGCTGCCTGCTGGTTCTGCCTTGTCTTGCAGTTGAAGTGAAACAAACTAATTACTTGGAGCCAACGATGATTCCCGAAGCATGCAAGTTCGGGCATGCATATGGACCGCACAAATCATCAGAAAGCTATCTTTTAGACCTGGAGTCTAGACGTGTAGTTTGGGAGAACATGCCAAAATTCCCTGGCCACTCAGGTTCTGGGGGGGGGGGGGCTTCGTGCTCAAAGCAACCAACATTGCCACCAACCCTGGTGGTCTCAGCTTCGGATACCTTCAGCATGGGGGATCTACATCAACCTCCTTTCCAGATTATCAAGGAGGGCTGCTGTATCTCGTCAAGTGTCTGGTTGCTTGAGGCTTCAGGGCGCTGTAGCCGCTTGGGAGCTCAGTGGGGGGGTCTTGGGTAGGCATTGTGGCGCTTAGGATTCAAAACTGTTTTTTTGGCTGACTGGTGGTATGATGATGTGCAAATGTCGCAAATGAGTGAAACCGAATGTTGTACTTAAGAGCAGAATGAGCCAGCCGCATGGATGTCGCGTGCCCCTGGCTGACAAGGACCCTTGAACCTTGCAATGAAGGTGGATGGCCCCGTCATGCCCTTGAAGCACTTGGTGTGTTCCACATGACACGAGCACTACTATACCTTCCAACGTGCCGAACCAGTCCGCACTCTGTTTGGATATAAAACCAGTAGACGACTACGACTGTTAGAAATACTTTCCATGGCCCAATGTGCAACCCGTTGTTTCAGGAATATTACTTTCGCATCAACATCCACCAACATTGCGGCAATCACCCTATGCTGAAGCCCACGGGTCAGAGGCGTCTTGTACATGTCTTCGTCACAGGTTTCAGCTAACCTGCTAATATAATGCCATCATCACAGCCCGACAAGGAGCGCGAGCCGTGTGATTGTGGCTCACGCCAGTGCAACTTCAAATTCACGGTGAGCGAAAGGGCCAACGCATTGCCAACACCAAGACAAGATATAGTGATACACAAACACATACAACAAGGCATGGCTCCTGACTCAGTCTGTGGCTATGTTAAAGCATCGGTTCTCCCGACGCAAGCAGTTTCCAGGGTCATGCTGGGATTCACGAAGCACCACGAAAATTCAAGTTATCAAGTTATATTCAATGCAATCGCTGTGCAGCTCTGTTGTCATCATGTTGTTCTGAAGTCTGGCAACACCCCGCTGCACGCATTATTCATCCATGCAGTGTGGCAAAACTCCAAGACAGCTCTCGCAACAGCACGATTGCAGCAGTAAGCACAACATGCATAAGTCGGCGAAAGGTTGCAAGGCGCACGTCCCAAGCCAAGCCAGCCACAGTCCGTCACGCTGCCAGCGCCGCCACTGCCGACATGTCCCACCACCTCGACCGGCATTTTGGCAACCAACCATACTTTCTGCTCTCCGTGGGTCAGAGGCGTCTTGTACATGTCCTCGTCACAGGTTTCAGCTAACCTGCTAATATAGTGCCATCATCACAGCCCGACAAGGAGCGCTAGAGTGGCAACTTCAAACTCACAGTGAGTGAAAGGGCCAACGCATTGCGTACACAAAGACAAGATATAGTGATACACACACATACACCAAGGCATGGTTCCTGACCAGTCTGTGGCTATGTTAAAGCATCGGTTCTCCCGACGCAAGCAGTGTCCAGGGTCATGCTGGGATTCACGAAGCACCACGCAAATTCAAGTTATCAAGTTATATTCAATGCAATCGCTGTGCAGCTCTGTTGTCATCATGTTGTTCTGAAGTCTGGCAACACCCCGCTGCACGCATTATTCATCCATGCAGTGTGGCAAAACTCCAAGTCAGCTCTCGCAACAGCACGATTGCAGCGGTAACCACAACATGCATAAGTCGTCGAAAGGTTGCAAGGCACACGTGCCAAGCCAAGCCAGCCACAGTCCCTCACGCTGCCAGCGCCGCCACTGCCGCCATGTCCCACCACCTCGACCGGCATTTTGGCAACCAACCATACTTTCTGCTCTCCGTGGGTCAGAGGCGTCTTGTACATGTCCTCGTCACAGGTTTCAGCTAACCTGCTAATATAATGCCATCATCACAGCCCGACAAGGAGCCCTAGCCATATGATTGCTCACACCACTGTCAACTTCAAAATCACAGTGAGCGAAAGGGCCAACGCATTGCCAACACAAAGACAAGATATAGTGATACACACACATACACCAAGGCATGGTTCCTGACCCAGTCTGTGGCCATGTTAAAGCATCGGTTCTCCCGACGCAAGCAGTGTCCAGGGTCATGCTGGATTCACGAAGCACCACGCAATTCAAGTTATCAAGTTATATTTAATGCAATCGCTGTGCAGCTCTGTTATCATCATGTTGTTCTGAAGTCTGGCAACACCCCGCTGCACGCATTATTCATCCATGCAGTGTGGCAAAACTCCAAGACAGCTCTCACAACAGCACGATTGCAGCAGTAAGCACAACGTGCATAAGTCGGCGAAAGGTTGCAAGGCGCACGTCCCAAGCCAAGCCAGCCACAGTCCGTCACGCTGCCAGCGCCGCCACTGCCGCCATGTCCCACCACCTCGACCGGCATTTTGGCAACCAACCATACTTTCTGCTCTCTGTGGGTCAGAGGCGTCTTGTACATGTCCTCGTCACAGGTTTCAGCTAACCTGCTAATACAATGCCATCATCACTGCCCGACAAGGAGCGCTAGCCGTATGATTGTGGCTCACACCAGTGGCAACTTCAAATTCACAGTAATTGAAAGCAACGCACCGCCAACACAAAGACATGATATACTGATGCACACACACACACACGCATGGCTTCTGACCCAGCCTGTTGCCTTTCACATGCATCGGCTACCCACGCAAGCAGTTTCCAGGGTCATGCTGGGATTCAAGACGCACCACTCATTGTTGTCTATATTCACAGCCACCTTCGCTGGGAAGCTTAAGGCCGCCGTGCCAACCAAGCCCGCTGCCGCCACTACTGCCACAATCGCCACCACAGCCACCACTACCACTGCCAGCTTCAGTGTCATTGCTGCCAGCTCCAACAAAGTCAAGATCCGGCAAGCGCCAAGTATTACCAAATGCTCTCAGTGGGTCAGAGCTGTCTTGAAATGCTCCTCGTCACAGGCGTCGGCTAACCTGCTAATCATATCATCATCACGCCCCGTGCGTCTTCACATTCTTTCAGCCATACATGTTCAGTCCGGCCAGCACTCCAATGCAGCCGCTGCATTTGAATGTGACACCCCGTGGGAAAAGTGATCGATCACGGGCAAAAGCCGGGCTACGCCAAATGCGGTGAATGCGCCTGAAAAACTTCTGGCATCACCAGATCCCGATGAGTACTGTTGATTAGGGAAAAGGGCATCCATGTCGAATGGACATTCCTTGTGTCCGACAATATCAATCTCGACTAAAGCGCGCAAGCCCACCCTCAAGTATCAGCAGGCAACCATGATTTTGATAGGTACTTGCAAGCTACACTTATTTGGACTGAGAGATACTGAGAGTGTGAAAATCCCATGGTGGCCACGCAATCTGCACGCCGAAGGACAACCAGCATCCTGCCTCGGCCCTGGCATGCTTTATTGAACCGCTGCAAGCATCTTTACATTCTGTACATGAAAATTGTCAGCGTGAAAACTGCATGCTTGTCTATGGCCTAACGCCGAAATCATAGGGAACTGGCAATTCACCGTATCTCTGAACCAACCACCAGAGCCACTACGTTCTTGCATCCGTGGCTTGGAGCTGCACAACACGCACACAGAAAGAACAACTGGTAAGTCCCCAAGGCTTCTCGAAGACTTTCGCATTGCAAGCGCTCCTGGCGTCGGTTGGAGTGTTGCCCCGAGTGACACAGTTCCGCCACCAACGGAGGCTAGGCGGGGGCCGCAGCGGCTGCCTGGAGCAAATCCCATTGGACAGCAGTTTGCCCTTACTTGGTGGATGGAGGTTAAGGGTTGGTGGTCTTAAGCCCCAAATCACTCTCTCTCAGGCAAAAAAAAACAACATAGAAGGAGAAGCCAAATCTATCTACTGCAGATCTGTGGCTGGCAGGCGCAGCACTTTTGCAAGTTCAGATAGATGAATGGATGGAATGGATAGATATATGGATCGATAGATTGAATAGGTAAATGGATAGGTAGACTGACTAGATAAATGAATAAACCAATTTATATGAACGGAAGAAACAAGGAAAGAAGGAGAGACAGAAGAAAGAAAGAACAAAAGATAGATAGAAATATTCAAAGAAAGAAATAAAGAAAGAAAGCAATAAAGAAAGAAAGAGAGAGAGAGAGAAAGATAAAAATAACAAGACATGATAAATAAATAATAAATAAAAAAATAAATAAATAAATAAATAAATAAATAAATAAATAAAAAAATAACATAAATAAATAAATAAATACATAAAAATAATAATAATAACATAAATAAATAAATAATAATAACAACAATTAAAGAAATATAGATAGAAACAAAGAACTAAATAAATAAAGACAGAAAACAATCAAGAAATAAATAAAGAGAGAGATAAAGATCAAATAACAAGAAAATAAATAAATAAAGAAATAAAGATAGAAACAAAGACAGAAATAAAGAAACCAATGAATAAATACATATTTAAACAAACAAACACCGCAGGAATGAAATCATGTCCGGAACAAACAAAGGAAGGAAGGACGAAAGAACGATGAAAAAGACAAGAAAAACAGAGACTTTGCCAACTCAACTGGTAAGTACTAATCGGGCCAAAGCCGTCTAGAAGAGACTAGTTTCCACTGCCCAGACTCCTGATTTGTCTGATTGCCCGCAGATGGCTCATGATTCTGCTGAACATTGCCCTCGACCATCATCCAAACCAACTCGGGGTACTGGTTTCATCTTGGCTTGCCGCTGCAAGGGGGGCAACACAGGACCATGTTTTTAAAGGAAACTGGATATAGACCCTCCTACGAAATACAAGTTCCAGTCTTTGCTTCGGTTCTGGTCACAAACAAAACTTGATTTGTGTCCTTACTTTTCCCCAGCTTAAAGCCACGGCAGTCCCCTTGTTTTTGTGGTTGACATTTAGCAAGTTGCCTCCAATTGACCAGAGACTACTGGACATGTTGACCGAAACCCCGTTTTCAACCTTTTTTCTTGGCTGTTTTATTATAGAAACGAAGAACGCCACCGATTTGGGGACCCTGGTACGGAACATGCCTACGCCTCTGACAAAAAAAAGACACTCGGCGCCTCTCGCTTCGGCTGCCTCAGCTGGCGACATTCAACACGCCCAGTGGTTTGGTTTGGTGGTTTGGACGTGGTTTGGTTACGTTTCAACCACCAATCCACACCACCAACTAGTTAAGGCGTACCTGATTGTTTGGGTGGCTCGGGTGGAGGACTCGAAAACAGCGGGGAAAAAAGAACACCCGAAAGCGGGACAAACGGCTTGCCCATGTTTGGATAATTTATGATGTTGAATGGACGAGCCCCCCAAACAAAGGAAAACAGTTCTTATAATTGGTGGTCGATTTGGAATGGAGGTCCACTCAGAAATCAAGGCAAGGCAAATCCGTGCTTCACTGCGCTTCTGCTTGACAATCATCAATGCATTGTAGACCTTGGATTCTACGCTCAAGAAAGGAAACTGTATCTTGCTTGGCAGTTGTTGCTGCCTACGTTGCTCTCATGGCATGTAGAGCAGGAATAATGCAAAGCCTCGCAAGACCAACATGCCCCGCTTCTGATCACACTCCGTGTCCAACCGGGATGCTTTTGCCGAAAGAAGGGGAACCTACCCTTGCTCACGGTAACATAGAACTTGTTGGAAGGTGCCGAACAATTCCCTCTCAACACCCCCTGTCAGATGCGTTCAGGTGCCATGCTAGGGAGGCACGACACCAACCATTGGATGCGGTACCCAATTTTGACGCACAACCACTGGCATTCCCGTCGCAACTGAAACGGCCGGCATCCCTAGAAATCTTCTTTGGGTAAGGGTATTAAGTGCTTCAAGGCTGGGAAACAACTGGGAGAAACAACTGGCACATCACAGTCTTTGCTTCGGAGGATTCTTCAGTCCCGATCTTTCCCCCTCACAAACATAACCTAAGAAGAAGCTCACTTTAGCTTGGCCCTTCAAGGGGAATGCTTCTTCGGCCACCCAGGGCTTTGCCCGTTGAGCCCCTACCCAGTTTCCACCCAGCAGCGTTTCCAGCGGGGCGAAGGACGCCATGATGGATCGGAAGAGCTCCTGGCAGGTTTGTCTTACAACGGACGAACCTCAAACCTGCAACGAAAACAGGTTCAACAGGATACACTCACTTAGATCACGATTAAACACAAAAAACACAAAAAACAGGCTGACCAAATTGCTTTGCTTTCCATCTAGTTTAAGATCCTTGATCGTGCCCGAGCTATTTCACCCCACAGCTAATGCAAAGCTCGGGGATGTGTTTCATGCCTGGAAGGACTTCCACCCAGCTTGAAGAATATGCTCCTGGGCTTCCTCAAGGTGTGAAACCCAGAATCATAGGTTACTAGTTGCTGAGGCGTTGCTGACGTGCTAGAACAAGGTTGCCCACATGGGTGCGTCTATTTTCGAGGGTGCCTCTTTTGTGTGGGCTTGAAGGGAAACCAATAGGGAATACCAACATTCTGGGGGGTCCCCTCTAACAACAAACACACTCAAAAGTTTATGCGCAACCTGCACTGCTTCACAATCACCATGATTTCTGTCGCCCAGCACAACTCCGGGGTTTGCAGTTCATGGCCTGACAAACGGCATGAGAAGAATAGTTTCCCCCGAGAAAGCGCAAAGCCATTCTTGGATGTTGGCCCCGCTTGCCCGATCCGTGCCGCGCAAATTCATCCTGCCGATCTTCCCAGAGAAGCGCAGCTGTCCGCAAGTCTCAGTCAGCCAGGTGGGTTTTGCTACCGGATGTGCCTGCTTCCTACGCTAGGGCATTCCACACATGGTTGGCTTCCTTTCATTCAACATTCCCGGGAACATTATCTGAAAAAGGAAGCCCAAGTTCAGGATGTCTTCATGAAAATGAACATGCTACCTAGGTTGCCTCTCACGACTGAATGAACAGCTGTGGTAGGGTGATTTCCGTGAAATCCCTAAGTGTTACAGGAAAAGCAACCATTCAAACCAGGGTACATTACAGGAATTTCTTACTACCCACTTGCATTGTTCACGGCGTCAACGATAGCTAGCATCAATGGGTGGAGCTGTAAACAGGCTTACGATTGGGAGATGTGCGCCCAGAGTGACTGTAAGCACTCTGCCAACAATGGTTGAAGCAGGACCACTTGATCAGGGGCACATAGCAACTATGTGAAGTCCGAGTCACGCTCACCAACACCTCTGAGACGTGAAGCTCGAGTATGACAAGCCATTGAAGGACCTTCCGCTGACTGCGGCCCTGACATGAATTGCAGGTCGACACGCAAATTTGGTGAAATCCTACATGCCGACACATAGTCTCTTCAATGCCTAGACAACAATCTTCTGCACGACCTATGTCAAACCCGAAAACATGTTAAGACTCAGACTATGTTGGTCTTCCAAAAGGATGCCAACAGGAAACCAAGCCGCTATAAAGTACCGACTGATTCTGATCATCCAAGAACCGTGTCCAAGGAGCACGACCAAAATGCTGACGGCACAGGGCTGCCCGCCAAAAGGGGTGAATTATCGTTTTTCCTAGGTCGTTGGGTCGAATTCTTTATCCGCCGACATTGCGGAGGCGTGCGGGTACCTAAGAGAGGATAGAGGATAACCCCCTAACCCCCCCCCGCCCGACGTCTGATACGTAGGGTTTAGGGGGTCCCCCACGTACCGCGCGGTAATTTGATGACGTTCCACTAAACGTAGTCTTCGGGGAAAACAGGAGTCCCAGGCTCGAATCCCCCTGCCGCCTCTTTGCTGGTTTGGGTTTCCTGCCTCTTTTTGCCGAAAATCTGGAAAAACTCTGTGTTGTTTGACGCCCTCTTTGCGAAAATGCTGGAAACACAGTGTGTTTTGGGAAATACTGGGGAGCAAAGGGAAAATGCAAGGAAGTGCAAGGAAATGACGGGAGGAAATAGGAAGTCAACATGACAGGAAAGCAAGGGGAAATGAAAGGGACACAAAGGGGAACTGAAAGGGACATGAAAGGGACAGAAATGAAAACAAGGGGAGTGCAGGGGGAATGAAAGGGAAACAAAGGACAAGGAAACCAATCGGCACGACGGGAGATGTAGGGAAATGACTCGCAACGAAAGAACGGGACATACATGGAAAATGAAGCGAACATACCGAGAAAATGACAGGGACATGAAGGGGGAGTTAAAAGGAATGGAAGGGACACGACCAGGACACCATGGGAAACGTGAAAAGGATATGAAGGGGAAATCAAGGGAAAGCCAGTAGCAAGCAGACAGTTCAGGGTCATGAAGGGGCAGTGCCCGGACATCGAGGCAACTCAGGGGGGACGTGACGCTGCAGAGAGAGAGAGAGAGAGAGAGAGAGAGAGAGACACAGGGAGAGAGCGGGAGAGAGAGAGAGAGAGAGAGAGAGAGAGCGAGGGAGAGAGAAAGAGAGAGAGAGAGAGAGAGACAGAGAGAGAGACACAGAAAGACAGAGAGGGAGAGAGAGAGAGAGACTAGGATGGGGAGCAGAGGGAGGGAGAGAGGACGACAGAACACACGGGGGAGGAGACAAGAGAGAGAGGAAGAAGGAGAAAAGGGAGAGGACAATGTCGCGCGGACTGAGCCGGAGGCTCTAAAGTTTCAAGGTCGATCTGAAATGACTTAAGTCTTGGCACTGCCGCGCCTTAACACGGCTCAGGGCTTCAGGCGGCAACTCCTTAAATACCCCCGTATGTAAGAGGCTGCCCCCCCCTGGAAGTGGAATTCTGGGTGACGCAGCGCTCAATTTGCAGGCCAAAACGTGTCTTGACGGAGCAAACATGGTGGGGGAACGGGATCAAGCCCACTAAACACTGGGTATTTAAACAGCTGCTGCGGGTACCAAAAGGATTTTTCCCACACCCTTATTTCAGGATTGTTAGGTCGAATTCACGCAGAAGTCAGGTGACCTCGCTCTAATTCACCCAGACTCAAATGAGGGCCAATTGAGGCTGAAAATGCTTATCTGAGAGGCCGACTCACGCTGCACAAGTAGTTCTTGCCCTCACCCTTCACCAGGGCATATAGCTTCAGCCTCGCTTCACATGGCGATTGGGCGCTTTAAATTTCAACTTCGGGTTTCCTGGAAGAACATAAGGGTTAAAACCAATTGGTCGTTGGATTGGTCTGTCCGGTCCGCTGAATTCATCCAAGCTTCGAGGTGATGAACTAGGAGTTTGCTTTGTTTCTCACACAGCAGGGTTTCAAAGGATCAATCCTTTTGTTGGGGGCTTCAAGCGGCTGAGAGCTTGGCACAGGCACATGTCTCAGGAATCCCCTTCCGGGATCGGACCCTTTTGGGAGTTCCTAGGGTTGATTTTGTAGTGGGGGTTGGTTTTCAAGGCCCAGTCTTGAACAAGAACTGTCCCAACCTCTGTTTGTTCGAGCACCCTCTTTGAGCTTACCAGAAACCCTCATTTTGGATGCTCTCTCAACAAACCCAAGCCGCCGATTTCCCTCTTTTGAGTTCCAGTCTCATGGATGAAGTCGCTGATCCACTCGAACTGGTAGATGTCCAGGCCTCCAGGATCGATCTGACGGCTACCCGGCCGATCAACATGTCCAGGGGGCCGGTCTGCAGAAAGCAAAATCGGGAAGGTCTCAGGGTTCAGATAAAATGCAAGTATTGTTAGACCCCAATGGATTTAGTACCCTCTTTTGTAGAAAGTTTCTTCTCAATTCAGGATCCTGTGAATGTTTTGGGGGTCCCTTAGTGTAAAGTTTGTTTGCCGGACAAAACGCTGGAAAACATGGCAACAATTTGGCAAACAAGTCGGGCAAAAAAACGAGCAAACAAATCCGGCCCTGATCCTCCTTAATGTGACTGTTTTGGGGTCCTCTTTAGTGTCCAACTGTTTCTTGGGGTGCTGAAAGTCTTAAACTAAAGCCTTAAGCCTTTTACTTTTAGGGTGGTTCACCTAACCAAGCTCTTCACAGCTCAAAAGGAAAAGGCCTTGAACCTGGAAAACCATTTTGCAAGTGGCTCCCAAACCATCAAACTTAAGATAACTTCTTTACAAACAAGATTGGGCAACCAGTCACACAAAAGGGGGTTGCCCACAAGAGGCCCTGATCCTCTTTAATGTGACGGTTTTGGGGTGTCTAACCGTTTTGGGGTTTGCTGGTTCTTGGCAATACTAAAATAGAATTGGCAAGACTAAAGTATGTACTGGGAATCTGAGAGTCAGCCTTGGCTTCCCTTAACTCCAAAGAGGGTCCAGCTGACTGGTTCCACTCTTCCAGGGGGGGGGGAAGAGAGTCCAACATTAAGATATGTTACATTTGAAAGACCCATTGATACTTCCAAACATGGTGGTCTCAAAGGCCCCTGCACAAAAACAAAAAACACAAAGGGGCCCTTGCAGATTTGACATCATATGTTTAAAGCACACGCCTGATGAGCACAGCGCGCAAAAGGCATCTGTCAATGGCCCACGCCTGACCCAGCGGGGTCAACCAGCGCCTCGGCGGGGGAAAATGACATCCTCCCCCGGAGCCAAGCTAAACCAGTCCATTGGGCCCGAAAAAAACGAAAAGCTTCCGGCACCCTTCCAAGGGCGTTCAAAGAGTGCCCTGAATGACAACATGGTGCAATTTGACTTGTCGAAAGTGCCAGGTGTGGGCGGCTTCCCAGCTGTGAGCTTGTCCCAACCTATCATGCAGGTTCGAGTGCTACTCCTGATGGGCGAACCATCATGAACGAGTTGTTGCTTCAGACCCAGAAACGAGTCTTGATACAATAAAAAGCTTCAGGAACAACCCGCGGCAACCTCCAAGTAGACTTTGAGCATTCCTTACTCAAACAATAAAAGCAAATTCTAGAAACCCATGATTGGATGACCTTCAGCCCACTTGAAGCAGTTCCCACGAGCGTTTTGCTGACGGCGTTATGCACAAAGGATCTGCGCTCAGAGAACCAAGAGTTTACAATCAGTGGGTCAAAGCGCTGGCTCTCAACTTCCAGCCATGGTTGGGATTGGGAGCGCAACCTGTTCATTCATCTGCACGGAATTCGGAAAAAAACCACCAACCGGAAGCAAATAAGGAACTCTTGGGTCGGGAATCATGATCTCGAGCAAGCTGGTTTACGACATGATTATACTCCTGTGCGACCCCTGAGTTTGCGGCCTCCACAAGTGTGGCTTCCGTAGTGCTGTTCACCCGAACTGCGCACGTGCAGTGGAGCTGGAGGGCGAACGGATCATTCACTTTTACTATGTTTTTCTAGCTGAGGGCTGATCAGCCAGATTTTGCAATTTTCTGAACTTGGGCGCCTTTTGTCCTTTCAAGGGACACATAAAGTCCAACAAATGGCATCCTGTGTTTGAAAAACCCCCAGCTTTGGTTCGATGCCCGGCCAATGATTTGGGAAGCCATCATGGCAATTGCTGGATGGGGTCAACCGCTTCGGACGGGTTGCTCCCAGCATCATAGAATTGTTTCTTGTCTATGGCCCCCCTTCAAACCCAAGTGCAAAACAACAGCAAATTGGGGATCAACCTAACTCTAAGTTCAGATTGCAGGCTGATCCCAAGGAGAGGTCCTACCCCTCGACTACTCTGCAGGGGCCGCCCTCAAATTCAAGTTGGACATTCACAAACGGGCTCCAATTCTCGTGCCCCAGTACTTCCCAGGACTGTCTGAAAATTGGGGGACTCCAGAATGCTTTGCTTTCTGTTGGTCGCCATGGGAACCTTTGCAAAAAAGGGTTCCTCCAAAGCTCGAACACACAACCCAAACTGACAACCAAAAGGGGAAGGACATTGAAGCCAATGGAAAGCAGGCAAACCTGAAGGGACATCAAGGAACACCTGCGATGGGTGGTTTCCTTTCGACTTCCCTTTCAAACTTCCCAACAAAGGTGAGTACGTAAATAGACGGACACCACTATCGTTTGCGATTTCCTGTCCCCCGATGCCAAAACCGCCTGCAGGCCGGACTTTGGCCATCCGCTCACCCACCTCTGTGGCGTTCGACCCAAGGGCCTCACCAGTTGCAACGTGCAGCGAGGACGTGGGTGCCGATAGGAACTGCTTCCCTTGAAATATCCTTCAAACAAAGAGTTGAACGCATCGAAACACAAGTAGACGTATTCAGAAAATGAAAAAACAGGAGGCATGTTGTTTTGGTTTACCATTTGATCGGACATCTACACATGGTTGGCTTAAGATTTATCCTTCATTCCTTGTCTGAAACCCCATGAGAAAATAGATCCTTCCCCCGGGTCCCGCTGGGGCCTCCTGTTGACACATTCAGCAATTCGACCCCTCGCCCCTTGGGACATCTGCTTGACTTCCTTTTGCTGGTGACACTGGTTTCGCATTGGAATCATTTCTCTCTCAAAACAAAGTGGTAAAATGATTTCAACGAATGGAAATTCGCAATGGACAAAACAGTGACTCATAGATGTACAAAAACTGCCTTGGAGTCTACCCGTCAGTCGAGCCACGACCCAATGGCTCAGTCCGTCTCAAGTCCAGCCTCCGCAAGGCTGGCAAAGTCTACGGCCTCGCGGCTGATGAGGTGCTGCTTTGCTTCCGCTAAAGTGGCGGTGTCACAACTAAAAAACCTGTCCGAGTGATCTGCATGTGGATTGCAGGTAAAACTGGCCCAGAACGACGCATGCCCAACTGTCAGTTCGTGCACGGCCGGCCATCAGCATGTAACACACAAACAACAGCATAAACCTTTCCGTGAGGCTCCAACCCTTCTTCTGGGGAAACGGCCCCATGTTTGTGCTGACATGCCCGGCCTTGGACTTGGCGGTCATGACCTGGGATTGTGGTGCTTACTTCTCCCTAACCCAATGAAGCCTGGTAAAAGGTCATTCCCACAAATTCCCACTATTGATCAACCCGACAAAGCCTATGAAGCCCCCACTCTGGCTTCTTGTAAGTCGGGTCCTCATCTTAGCCCGGATGGGCCTGAGAGCAATACACCTTGCTCCTTTCAGGAAGGGACCGTCGTCCCCCTGTCCCGACCCCAAGCACGGGGAACCTCCCGTCTGCAGTCCCCAACCCTTGGCATTCTCTGTGCACATCGTGGCAGCTGACTATGGTTCCAATAGTACTTCTATCTACACTGCCCCCGTCCCTTTCATTTCAGACAACCCAACACAAAGGGATGTGCGTTGTCCAAATGAACGATGGGTGAAACAAATTGAATAGACAGTTCCGGATCGACCTTTAGCGTTCTGTGCGGTGGGTCGTTGCCCTTGTTGCTATGTGACTGATCCTTGTCGCTGTAGCGAGCCATCAGTGACATGGAGATTTCATCAAATGGTCAAACAACGTTACGCTTGATGCCTAGGGCTGCACTTGTTGTTTTTGTCACCATGAATTGTGTAAGAATCAAGCATGCATATGATTTAGCTTTGCTTCTGATCCTCCGCAAAATATGGAACTCCTCCCCCTTTTCAGAATACCTCCAATGTGTCAAATATTCCCCAGCAACTGTGCACGATACCATTTCACTGGTCAATCTCAAAACACTAGCGGCCGGAGGGGGGGACTGATCACATACCTCCCGCCCCTGCCTGTTTTTGACGAATCCAGGGTCGCCCATGTCCTCCCATAATCGACTTCTGAGATGCAAACAGAACCACGGCGGGGAAAACAAGAAGGAAACACTAACCATCGACTTCTCAGAATATAGTCCATTTGCTTAGATGCAAATCGAAACCACGGAGCAACCAAGAAGCAAACCACGGCGGCGACACCCGGGCTGTTCTTCGATGCCTCCACTGGCTGGATTCGATCCCCTTGCCACGCCAGAAGCCCAGGCCTCAGGGAGTTTAAGCGTGTCTGCGCGTGTCTTTGTGCTTCCTCAGTTGGTCCTGTGCGACCTAGAAATGAAAGGTGAACCTTTTGGGCCTCTGACCAAAAATGGACCAAAAAGGGGACACCAAAAGGATAAAAGGTTGGCTTTTGGGCAATTGAGCTTGTGTTTGTGGTTGCGTGTGTATACCCAGTCAGGGTGGTCTTCATGTTGAACGCACAGGCGAATGGGGATTCTCTCGCTCTTCGATGGGCCCGAAAAGGCTTGTGCACGCTTTTCTGGGTCTGCATCCTGAGGAACCAGAACTGAAGTGGACTGCGCAGGCCCTGAGTTGCAACCTGGATGCGCTTTTCCAGTGTCAGGTAAGTAGATGGCTCTCTTCGCCCCTCTAGCCCTCTCGTCTCACATAAACGCCTGGGTTCAAAGTGCGCGGGAGCTCCCGAGAGGTGGCTCTTGGGCGAAATACCCTAAACTCATGGCACAACTCCAAAGGGCTGGGATCGCGTTTGCGAAAGGAATCTTGCCCAGTGCCCTGGCCCATCCCTTGGACGACTTTAAGGAAAAGAAAAGTCCCCTGGTAATTATCACGGAAAGTGCCACCCGAAGCTTCATCCGATGAGAAGATTGCGGCCTCTTGGCTCAGCTTCCGGTCTCTGACAGCTGCGCTGATTCAACCATCTGCAAACGAAGCCACGAACCTTCCATTACCCACGTGTTGATCTTGGCTCCTTTGAACAGCAACACCAAACCTTGATTTCTAGTTGTGCAAATCAGGGATCCTTACATTATACACCTGAACATTGCCTTGTAAATGGTGGTTTCCCTTTATTTTGGTGGAAAAAGCCATGTTTCAACTGGGCAAAATGTATCTTTTAAGGAGCCCTGGCAAAGAAGTCGATATTCTTTTCAGCTCCACTTCAAGGGGTCATATCACTTTGTAAGCCCATTCACTGAGCCACAATCAAAATGCAAAGAATTGGCAGCCGCACTGTATATGGCAATCCCGTAATATCCTCCCATTCCTCTGTAGATTGCCAGGGAGCACTTACCAAAGAAGTCCCCCAACAAAAGCTTCCTCCACCAATCCCAGGCGTTTTGGGGTTCCACATTGATCTGAGTTTCCGGGTTTCGGCTGCTTGATTCTGGGGTTCTGGGGCGCGGGCGCGGACTTCTTCAGCACATAGTCTGGCCTGTGAACGGCCGGCACCTCTGAAGGACACACATGCAGAATTGTATGTCAACACAAACACATACTATATATATATATACTATGAGGAGGTGTCAAAATAGTGGACCCCCAACATGGTGGTTTTCTTCTGGCTTCCCTTCAACATGCTTTGTTCAAAGACTTCCAGTTGCCATTGCATCATGAACCAGGACAATTTCATGCTGAACCAGGACTTCTTTTTCCCTTTCAGCGGCGTTCAAAATGAATAGTTGTTGTCTTTTGGTGTCCAAATGGCCATTTCCCATGATCTGCATGCTTTGCCATATAATTTGGTAGTTTGCAAAATGTGTATTCCTTGTGGACCACGAAGGAAGTCGTTTGGAGCATGACCCCGCTCCAATAATGAATGGTGCGTAGGCTGTACGAATACGACACTTCAATACATTTCATCTAAAGAGCTCTCGGTTCGTGAAATTTTGGCGCTATCAAGTTGGCGCTTTCAGTCGGTTCATTCGGACTGTGAAATTAGGATCCTCCCCCTGTGAGCCGGCCGGAAAGCAGACCCAGGCCCAAGCGGACGGATATTCTAAGCGACCCAAAATGATCCCAGAGCTTTCACATTCCAGGCAAGCACGAGACTCATCATGTAAAAACGTAGAGGCAAACATACCTACCATAAATCGGAGTACCCGGAAGCACTGGGCTGCGTTTTCCAGCCAACTGCGAAAGGCGACGTCCATCTTTCTCGCCGAGCTTCGGCATCGAGATGTTGAACACGCCAGGCCTCAGACTGCGAATTGCGAGACCGAGCAAGTCGACAGCTGAAGCTCGGCAAACAACGACATGGCCATGATTTGTTGATATGTTTTGAATGGAACCGTAGTCAATTTGTCTGGCACGTATATGGGTTTCCACCAGGCAGGAATCCACGAGTAAGACACCTTCATCATGGCCGAGCTCGCTTTTACGTCCAGGACACCCGGTTTTTTCCCAACGTTCCAGTCATTCGGGCACTGTCTGCAAATATGATGCTCAGTCATTTGCGCTGGTGGGAGGCCGACAGTTGTGAAAGGGTTCAAACACATTCGACACAGTCTATCAGATCGGGTTGGATCGGGGAAACAATGTGCCGACACCAGAAGTTCTCCCTGGGTGGCCGTTGTTTCTTTTCGATTTCCCTTTAGAACCCACAGCTAACAGGGTTCAGCTGTTCAGCTACTTGCGCGTACTACTTGGGGCCAGGTTGACAACCACTCCTGCGTGGCGGGAAACTCCACACAACAGAACAATATGGCTATTGTTCAACCTCACGAGGTTTCTTGTAAAACAAGCACCGGCTTTTGTCTCAACGTGCTCATCGAACATGAGCTGGGGCACTTTCAGAGAGCTAATCTTAAACACGAATTTGCCAAGATCAGCTTCAAAACGGACATGAACCTTGGGTTCGCCAACTGAACCTTTTGACATCGTATTTAGAAGCCTCGGAGATGTCAGTTCCTGTGGGAATCCTGCCTGCCAACGTGACAAACCCGCGCCAAGGTGAAAGCATCTACAACAAACCACAGCCAGGAGTGCATGTTGACCAAAACCTTGCATCACTTCAGGGTATACTGGACACCCCTTTGAATGTCTATGAGTCTACTTTCAAACAGGGCAACAAGACCCCCATCAACGCAGTGAGCCTCTTGCATCGTATATGGCACCACCTTGGGGCCTTCGAAGAGCCCAAGGATTGCCTGCGCGCGGGCGGGGCGCCACTGCAAGGGGAAACGCACGCGTCAACGGCAAAGAGTAAGACATGAACAGTCCACCACATGACATCGCAACACATGTTCGACAATGGATCTGTGGTAGCAACACGAGGGACCCTTCCGGATATGGGGCATGCTTCTGAAATCGGGCCTTGCCTAGAATAAATTGCCAACGCACCACAGTTGAACGTTTACCAACTGAAGAGCTAAACCAGTGGAAACCAACCGGTAGTGGTCCCTGGTTCTGACAGCTATATGAGGAGTCAACGAGGGTTCCCCGCAAGTGGGTAGCCCTATTCAGGCTCCAAGGTAAGCTTGTCAAGGGAATCTGCTACAAGCAAAGGGGGTCTGTAAAAAGTGGTTTGACAATTCGCTGAACTCAAGCACATTCGGGACATTGGCGCGTCCTCTGTCGCTTTCCGAGGGGCAACCAAGATCCGGCCTTGAGAGAACGGGAGGCATAAACAGAAGGTATGTCAGACCCTTGTCAGCAGGCACATCTGCAAAAACTCATTTGGCATACTTCCAATCGATGCTGTAGGCGCTCTTTTCTATTCTGAAGCGTTCAGGAGTCCTACGACAATGTCCTACTCCTACTACCCTAGACTCAGCTACGGGCATATCGACCAAGAAGTCACTTGGGTCATCATGAAGGCAAGTGGCTGGGCCCAATCAGCAGTTAGAGCTGATGCCAAGTGACCGCGTGACACAAAGCATTGCACTGAGCAATGCTTTGGGCGATATGCACAGCAAGCATCCACTCGTCCAAGCTGGACGAAAGAAAGCGGGCATGCAACCTGCCTTTCGTGCAGCGAGCGCGCCACTGCTGGTCCATCTGGGCAAATCTCAAATGAGTCGCTCGCTTCGGAGCGTCCGTGAAGCCAAGTCGGTCGGACAGCCAACATAGACTGGATACAAGCGCCCTACCCGCTTCAAGAGCGGACTGGGTGCTTGTCAAACATGGGGGATGTGTTGCAACCTCACAGCTGCCTTGTTTCCAGACTGCCCGCCTGTCTCGCTTTCTAAAGGTTTGGCAGCTAGCACCGGCTAACTACCGTGCAAACCGAGCACCGGTGTGCCCAAATTCCGGGTTGCGGCAATGGAAAAACTTAGCCTCGGCCGATCTGGAGACCAGGCGAGGCCTATGCCAGGCCATTTGGGCTTAAATTTCGGATGCCTCAGGGTTGCGCCTGCCTTTGCAGCCTCAGCGCATGCGCTTCCCTTCATTTGCTGCTTGGATTGGTGGTGCGGAGGGTGCGCTTTCTCTCCGTTCTTGAAACTAAGAATCAAAAGTCAACCAATCTAAATCACCAATGAAGGATTGCCTGAGTCAAAAAACACACGGTGCAAAACTGCACCCCAAAAGAACACGAGCCTGTCATTGTCGAAACATTGATGGATTCCCCTGGTCCTTGATTATAGTGGTTGAAGGCGCAGTGAAACCAGCAAAATCGAGGGAACCAAACATATAGAGCAGGGGCTCCCAAAATCCGTGTTGTATGAAGGGAGGGAGGGAGGGAGGGAGGGAGCAGCTTCCAACAGCCACACATTCAAGGCTGCCCGTGCAGGACACACGGGCATGGAAGCAGGGCTCCCGTAAGCCATGATGTGGGAAGGGAGGGCGAAGGACATTGAAAAAAACCAAGTTTTTGCATGTGGACCTGCAGCAGGGGCTCCGATACGAAGGATGTATCGGCACGCAACTCTTCTCATCCTTGCAAGTGTTTGTACAAGGGCATGCCGCATTAACTGCGACACAAATAGGCAGTTGGGGAGCGAAGGAGGGAGTGAGGGGCACTGAAAACCGTGCTATTGTTTGGGGAGGGGGCAGCTCCTCGAACCGCGGGCTTGCAAGAGGGGCTCCCAGAAACCGTGTTTTGGGAAGGGAGCGCGCTTTGGAGGGAAAAGAGGAAGGAATTGCATGGACGCACAGCTGAGTCTTGGTGCTGGAATTCAAGCGACAAAAAGCTGAACGTCAGCTGGAACTGCAGGAGTATCTGCCGAAATGTCAACCTATATTATACCCCCACCCCCCCCCGGACCTCCAAATGGAGCTGCGCTCACCCAAAAAGAACAAGAGCGATGGCTCTCGTGCAAATGAAACCCCGAAGAGACATGTAGCGCCCAAACTGAGTCCAACCCCGCCCCCCCCACCCCCAGCTTGCCGTCGTGCCACTCGCAGTCCTGGAGTAGATCACAGATCACTGTGGACCTGGCAGGGTTTGACTGCGGATGATGGCTCCGGTGCGTCGCCTCGGAGAGAACTGGGGAAAGGGACTCTCTCTTCTTCCCAAGCCAACCCTCTCCTTCCTTCCACATTATCTTGGATGGAGAGGAGGCTTGTAAGCATGGAGAGAGGAATAGATGGATTATGATGAACTTTCTATGCAAGCCTTTATCACTCCATCTTGGAATCTGCCCATGCGGCAATGCAGGAAAGTAATTCAACTGAGGAGGGGTGGCCTCGGAGGGTTGAACGTCAGGGATGCTGCGACCTCAAACAAACTCAGGGGTCTTGTTGTTGTTTCATTGAGGTGAGCGGCGCGCTGCACACATGATAAGGAAACCCTGGGGTTTGCACGATTCGCTTAATTTTGCACAACATATTTGTAGACGTAATCCCAAGAGCAGAAGCAACCCGCCCCAGTAACCAGTGAGCAAAGCCAAAAACAACAAGTGGGTTGCTCAAACTCCCGCTTTCTTGTAAGCTGATACCGTGGCATCATTTGGTATCCGCTTGCCCCCTATCAGACCTATCGGTTTGCAGTGTTCTGGCGCCTGTCCTGCTCGAGTGCAGTCAGTACATCTTGGCAGCTCCAGCTCGAACGTAAGCAGATTACACTTTGGCCCATCGGCAGCTCCAGACTGGAAAGTCGCAGCTTTTTCGGTACAAGCATAAAGTCAGGGATGTTGTCATCTATATCGGTTTGCAGTGTTTCAGACTTGCAATGCAAGTTCAAGGACAGGCCCTTACACAACGAAAAGGTTCGGTTTTGTTTCGACTCAAATCGGATCAAAAAAGCCACGGGCACGCGGCCCGTTGCCCGATGGCAGCGATCGCAAAAAGGGCGCCTCTGCTTGGACTGCGCGTATTCCAGCGGCGTCTGCCCGCCCGAGTTCTTTTTCAGAGGGTCCTCAGATCTTTTGCAGTCGGTTCGTGGTTGAAAGAAACAAGCAGCAAACAAACAAACAAATCCAAAGCGGAAACCAACCAACCCACCAAGCAAGCAAGCCGGCAAAATAATGTTGACCACGGAATTGTTGAGCCTATCCCCTCCAAACCCCCACTAAAAGGGGACACCCCCCAGGGACACCCCCCCGGGACACCCCCCCAAAATCAACCAGGGTTCATTGATCCGGGCTTACCAGTAGACAGCTAGCAAGCTAGCCACCAACCAACGAACCAACCAACCAAGCAGCGAATCAGCCAACTCAATTCAACTCAACTCATCCCAATGATCGCAAGGAAGCAAGCAAGGGAGCAAGGGAGCAAGGGAGCAAGGGAGCAAGGAAGCAAGGAAGCAAGGAAGCAAGGAAGCAAGGAAGCAAGCACGCAAGCACGCAAGCAAGCAAGCCAGCCAGCTGGCAAAACAACAAACAGGCAAAGAAACAAAGAAACGAAGAAACAAAGAAACAAAGAAACAAGCAAGCAAGCAAGCAAGCCAGCCAGCCAGCCAGCCAGCCAGCCAGCTGGCAAAACAACAAACAGGCAAAGAAACAAAGCAACAAGCAAGCAAGCAAGCAAGCAAGAAAGCAAGCAGCAAGCAAGCAAGCAAGCAAGCAAACAAAACAAACAAAACAAACACAAACGAAGCAAACCAACAACCAAAACAAACAAAAGAAAGAAAGAAAGAAAGAAAGAAAGAAAAAAAGAAAGAAAGAAAGAAAGAAAGAAAGAAAGAAAGAAAGCAATAAATAAAGAAACCAATAAAGAAATAAATAAAGAAATACATAAAGAACGAAAGAAAGAAAGAAAGAAAGAAAGAAAGAAAGAAAGAAAGAAATAAAGAAAGAAAGAACATAAACAAACAAACAAACACGAACCAAACAAACACAAAACAAACAAAGAAACAAACAAACAAACAAACAAACAAACAAACAGACAGACAGACAGACAGACAAACAGACAAACAGACAAACAGACAAACAGACAAACAGACAAACAGACAAACAGACAAAACGACAAACAGACAAACAGACAAACAGACAAACAGACAAACAGACAAACAGACAAACAGACAAACAGACAAACAAACAGACAAACAGACAAACAAACAAACAAACACACAAACAAACAAGCAAACAAGCAAGCAAGCACGCAAGCAAGCAAACAAAACAGCAACATGAACTGACAAACACAGACACACGCGCACACACATACAAGCAAGCATTCAACCAAACCACCAAACTGAACCGAACCTAACCTAACCAAACACGCAACAAGCAAACGGACAAGACGCACGCGCCCGAAAAAACAAAGCGGGTCAATAATGAAATCAATAATACAAGTAATACAGTTATAGACAGAAAAAACAATGATAGTCATATAAAAACATAGCGCCATTGGGCCATGAGATAAACCAACACCCAACACACACACACAATCAGGCATGCGGACAGGCAGGCAGGCAGGCAAGCAGGCAGGCAAGCAGGCAAGCAGGCAGGCAAGCAAGCAGGCAGGCACGCAGGCAGGCAGGCACGCAAGCAAGCAAGCAAGCAAGCCAACCGGTCAACCAGCCAACCAATGAAGCACACAAACAACAAAGGAAGAACGAAGCCATCAGATCCTCTCTTTCAACCAATCTCTTTTTGCCCAAATGGGGCGCATCTTGCTATCTTTCCCTCCTCAAACATGGCACCTTTTGGGGGCTCCTTGCCAGGAGTGAGTAGTCCCTCGTTCCTTTTGCGGCAAAAACGAAGGACCCACAAAATGGGCAACTCTGCTACAACAAATCTGTAACAGGGCCACTCCCTTGGGCTTTCCG